TGGAGCAATGCCAAACATATGTTTTCGTTTCTATGTAATTCCCTAACGAACCAGAAAACATTGCAATGGGATCTGCTAAACATGAAACAGCTGGTGGAATAATAATGCACTTCCGAAGAGTGTTTTTCTGCTTTTAAAGGTAAAGACCAGTTGTGGTCATGCGATTGCATTGTGAAAGAAACATTGTGGAATCGATCAGAAAAAGGTTGATCATCTAGCATCTAGCATCTGCAAGGTTCTGGAATCATCAAAATGATAAGAAAATTGGCCCATTCTCCGTAAAGTTACTAGCACTATACACAGAAAGATGTATATGGGGCTACCCTATATCTCTCACAGACCATGAGAGAAACAAATTTACTAAATATATGAATTAGTAGGCGGTTTCCCGGCAAATTTTCTATCATCATGTATTAGTCAAAACATATTCTTTCACATGATTGGTAATGAGAGCTTCCATTTCATTTTTTGAAATTGGGGCGTTTCCAATACTGGTCTTTACCTTTAATTCAATATGATACGATATTTGATCGCCTTATTATTGTTTTAAACGGATGTGTAGAACGGAATTGCAATGAATTTCAGACCTGCGGTTAAAGTCTGCTTCAGGTAAATAAGCCTATCTGAATAATAGTTTATATACTTCTTTAACAGCAAACATATTGATTAAACAATATAGTATCAACTCTTCATATCATTATTTCTCTCTTCTCTCCCGTGTCTTATGAGTTAATTTAATTTCTATCGTTGAAAACCTAAACAACAAGAATGTAAAAGGCTTTAAAAGAAGAAGGGGAGTGGATAATAATTTCGGGGAGCGACCCCCTTTCGTAAAGAGGAGTAATCTATATCGTATTCATTAAGGGATAGGGACACCCCCCCCCCCCCCCCCCTCCTTCTACCGGAAGTAACAGCGTAATCTAATTCCGGGGGAATTGGAATAGGGAAAAATGCCCCCTCCCATTATAATGCTCAATTCGCACTAGAAAACAAAAATCATATACCTCGGGAAAATGCGTTGTAAGGGGCACCACCCCCCCCCCCCCTCACCCCTCCATTTCTTTGTTTCTGACACATCCTGATCCACCACCGGTACAGTATAATTATACAGAGCTCAATTCCAAAAAGTACTACATCCATAAATCCAAGTTTTGAGAAAACACGATTTGTTAATACCATAGTTAACAATGTCAGTTTTGATTGATACTTTTGCTGATTATACTATTGTATGATACAAGTATAAAACTACTCTTAAATTTGTTAAGTCTGCACACAACATTTTCACGAATTTTTGTTTTTTTAAAGTTTTTTAAAGTATGAATGTAGCACCATTTGGAACCGGAATGGATGTAGTAATTTTTTGAACCAAAATATATGCACACTGTATGCATTTTAGAATGCATGACGTGAATGGAGTAGTACCTTTTGATTTTTAAATGCCATTTCTGACTTTTTTAGGAACTTCAGCTTTTTGGAAGTGTCACTGTATGAGGCTACTGGAAATGTGTACATTTATTCCCCCAAAAGGAGAAAAAAGAAGTCAATTTTGATTTTGATTTTTTTTTTAAATGGATGTAGTACCTTTTGGAACCGAACTCTCCATACATGTGTATCCGTTCGCGCGTGCAGTCAGCTACGCATGAGTAAAACGTGTTATGAACTAGGCACGAACTCAACATTTTATTGCACGGGGAAATTGCAATAAGTTCGTTACATAAAATCAGAGCAAACATATCCCCTGTACCATCGTTGATCCACACACATATGAGTTTAACGTTGACTTGTACAGGATATTCGACGGTCTTGACGACGCTTGTTTTCAAACAGCTCAGAATTAGCTCAGAAGAAGAATACAAGTGTATCTCTAGTTTATGTGGGAAAGTATTATTCGTATAATGGAGGCCGAATTAGCATCAACAGAATCGAAATCAGGTTCGCAAGCCAGCCAGTCCGGTGCGACCGCTAAGGAAAGTAAACCAGCAACTGTGGCTGCGAGTTCTTCTGAAGAGGTAATATAATAATAATAATATCTAGCTTTTATATAGCGCCTAATACAAATGTCTCTAAGCGCTTTACAAATATACTATTATCCCGGTATTTGGATTGTGTGCACACTGTGTGCACAATCTCCACTCCCTGGGGAGCATTCCAGCCAGGCGTTACTTGACGCTCAAAAACTGTTTGACCAACAATGACGGTCGCATCATACCGGGTACCCATTTAACACTTGGGTGGAGAGTAGCATGTGTGGGTTAATATCTTGCCAAAGGATATCAGTGCCGTGTCGGAGGTAATACCTGACAAAGCGGTCAAGACGTCTATCAGTGGGGTGGAAAGTGTGGACGCTTATGTACATGTGTATGTGGGTGTATTTATGCGTGGGTATATTTAGTTTTCACCGACGTTTATCAATGGAAAACTGCGCCCTTTATGATTAAATATACTGCCATTCCTTAGAAGAATATTGACATATTCTGCTGGTTTATTTTCTACCTTATGTACCCATTTGACTATCTTTTCCGGTGTCCCTATTTTTTCTGATATACCACCCGACTGTCCGCTTTGCTCTCTTAAAAAGTTGCAGTTCTGAAAAATACAAAAATAAAATCATTGTTATTAACATTTTCAGACCCATTTCAGTAAAACAAAATTATCCCCTTGACACCCTCGCCATCTCGACTATCCTTTATCTTATTATTATGGCATTACTTTTGCCATCATCCTCGTTTGGGTTCTAAAGTCAGTTTTTTCATTCAGGTCATATTCATTTATAGACTGACAATGTCTACTTAATGACTCATTTTTCACTCCAAATGGCCTTCTAATGACGCCTTTAGTAAAATATTGGTAAATATATATATATATATACACAGGTGTAGTAAACAATTCAGTTTGTATACCCTTACCAAGTTTTGTAATTTTTTAAAGTCCAAGTCCACTCCAAAAATAACTTACTTTCAATAGAAGCCGAAAAATCAGACAAACTAATTAAAAATAGTTTGAGCAAAATCGGATAACTAAAGTAAGTTATGCATTTTTGAAAAAGTATGTAAAACTATGAAAAAAGGAAATCACTACACAAATTGCCAATTTGATTTTAGTTTGTGACGTCATGTCCTCACTATTTATCGATTGCTTTATATAGTGTTATCCCATTCATTTCCATTTTTATCCCCTAAAACTTGATTTCCCCATGCCTTTGCCCAGGTTAAATAATTTGTATCATATTCCGTGCATCACATTTCACAAAAATGTTCATGAACTTTGAAGGATTTTTACTATTTTCTGAATATTGCATATTAATAATCATTGATTTTTATATAAATAGTTTATCAAAACTCACAATTTCCATGATTTAACTGGAAAAAATTAATCTATATTAGTGCATCCGCACAAAAAACATATTACTATCAATATAACTTGGATAATGGTGTGAAGAAATAAGATTCTTAGGGAGAAAAAAGAGGAAAATTATATTATCAATATAAAGAAAATATTTGGTGGATAGTGAGGACATGACGTCACAGACTCATGGGTGAGTTGCCAATTTGTCTTGTGATTTTCAAAGTTTTTCATGCATTTAAAATTAATAACTTCCTTATTAGTTATCCGATTTTGCTCAAACTTTCTTTTGATTGGTTTGTCTGATTTTCTGCTTCTATTAAAAAGTAAGTTATTTTTGGATTGAACTAGCCCTTTAAGTAAGTGAAAGATGTATTTGTTCCAATTTATGTTTCTTGAACATGTGACATATTAAAGCTTACATCTAAAAGTATCCATCAAAGGCCTTAATTCAACCAGTCCACCTTTCATTCTTGAGTTACGAAAAAAAACACCAAAAAACATGACATTTCCAAGCGGTATGAATAATTAGGTTGTTAACTGTATATATTGTTCAGTGTAAAACGAATATTTTTGAATTTGAACAATCAGAAATTTCCTCTGGAATGGTTCGGGTTTCGAGAGATCTATGTCCAGTATATAGCTGGTAAGCCTCACGCCCTCACGGAGTTTGGAGCTGTTCTTTACACTCATCATCATCGCCATGAGTTCAGGGCTATTGATGGTACAGGACTGGCTCAAGCCGCCGGGCTGAGGTAGGTGCCCTTTCACCCCCCTCCCCCCCCCCTCCCCCCCCCCCCCCCCTCCCCCCCCCCCCCCCCCCCCCCCCCCCCCCCCCCCCCCCTCTTCGCGGTATCAATTTGTATTGATGCGTACGCAAATTCAAATTTACTTTCACATTATAAATGATTATAATCAAAGCATGTTGGATCATTCTGAATTCTCCTTCTACAATGGATAACAACAACCAAAGTCGCAGTTTACAATGATGGTGCGATGTTCTTCTTTTTAGGGGGGGGGAATTGGTGTTGAGGGTTTGTTCCCGAGCGCAGCATTTAAATATTCACGGATTAAAAAAATAGACTCTTCCTTTTTTTCTTGTTAAAGGCAAGAAATTTCACAACAAGTGTCGTAGTCAAGTGGTATTAACATTATTAGTAGTATTTTTTTATCATTAGTAGCAATAATATAATTAATGTTATTATTACCAATATTATTATTATTATTATTATTATTTTGTATTATTATCATTAATATTTTTTATATCATTACTACTGTTACTACGATTTTTTTTTTTCGGTATTATAAATATTATCCTTGAAATAATTGTGTTTATTATTAATATTATTGTAATTAATTAATAATGATTTTATTAAAATAATAATTATTATTATAATAATAATAATAATTATTATTATTATTATCATTACCACTGTTAATAGTAAAATTATTACTTTTCGTGGTATCAAAAACATAATACTTGAAATTATAATTATTAATATTATTATTGATAATGATCTAATAATAAAATGCAGTTCTTGTATAGCGCATTTTCAATATCACATATCTCTGTGCGCTTCCAAAGAACTTTGGTGGAAATTATTACCCTAGCTTTAATATCATACCGTCTAACTAACCCTTTTCTCTCTCTTAGAAACCATGATGTCCTGTTAAGTATCAACAATCTACGACAAGGTGTGATCAATGTCGACCCTTTATCTATTCTGGAATGCCTTACAGACGTTGGGACAAATATCGGCTTGGTAAGATTTTGTTTGTCTGTTTTTTTTCTTTCTGAGTTCTTAATAATCTATAAAAGGGCGCGCGATGTCTGAGGAGTAGAGCAGTGGTCTCGTAACCGGGGGTCCCGGGTTCGAAACCAAGTAGATGCGCTCGTGCCCTTTGGTAAGGCTCTAATTCTCATGTCCAAGTCCCTCGGAGAGCTGTCGTTCCCCTAAATGCTTCTTGTTATCGGGTCACTACACAAATCCCATCCAGTGCTCCACACAGGCTCTGTCAAGGCATCTTGGGTGCATAACTCTGGTAGGATCGGGCAGACTATTGTGTTCCTGGCCGCATTTAAATGTTGTGTGTTCGTCTCCGAATGTTTGTTTTGCTGAATCGGGATGCTTACAGGCATGTGTGTTAAGAGATGCGCCTATTATTTTTCTTTTCATAACTTTGGGATATACAGTTTACATTCTTCTGATTGTTAATTTTCGAACACATGATAACCATGATTACCAACATCATATTTACCTTATATTTACTTTTAAGTTTTAAATGTATAATTTGTCTTGTATTATTGGGGGTAGTCCTCGACAAATCATTTTTGATTTTTGACTACCCCTTCCACATTTGCTGATTTTTTCTTTTTAAAACATACATTGCTCCAACTGGAGTCGTTTTATATATAATGTACATGTTCAATTTTTGTATTATATGTATGTGTTTTATTTTATGTATCTCCCTATGTTTTGCATTTCTGGAGAAATAAATTGAACTTAAACTTGAACATGGGTATCACGCGCTCGCACAATAGACGATTAGAAGGAAAACAAGAGCATACCCCCAAACTGTTGATGTACACATATATTATGATTATAAATAAATAGCTGTTACCTGTCATATTATAAACATAAGGGCATTTGAAGAGCCATCTTTTTCAGGGGATAATACTCTGCTACACTACCATACAAGGAATGAACAAGATCACTTTTTTGTTTTTTGTTACCTTGCCTAGAACCCAGTCTTCTCTTGTACTACATATATCACCATGTTGATAATCATTACTTTATTTAAAATTGATTTCATTTTTCTTTCTGTCAGGTGGTTGAGAGAAATGGAAAAGAAATATGGCTGTTTGCTTTTCATCTAGACGAAGAAGGTAAGCCCGCCCTGTTTTCCTTTCATTCACTGAACTGAAATATTGCGTCGAATTTAGTATCATTCAAGAAACATGCATGCCTAAAGATCTCCCTTCGACTACCAAAACTGAATGGCAACTGAATATTTTCGAGGCGGGGTGTATACAAAAATGAGCATGTAATTAGAAATCAATCTTGCGACATGGTTTCGTCCTTAAAAGCAATTGGTGAGGTTAATTTTCCTACAGAATCAGCTATATATTTCAATATAAATATAGAATACAAAACGGCACGTTTAATATTGATTCTGAAAACAGGGAATAAAAAAAAAAAAACATCTGTAAAAATTCATACCGGAATCGATGACTATAATCTACAGGAACAGACCGTTTTCACTAGATCTGGTACTGCGCAACCGGGTGTCTAAACTTTGAGACTCTGCTGAATGCAAAGTGTTACTGCATTCCGTAGGCCTAGTGCTACCGATTCCCATTACATTGCCAGAGGTTGACAGAGGTATGACTGGCTTAAAGATTTAAAGCATTATACAAAAGGTCTGTGCATGCAGACTACTTTGACTTCATAGTATGGTATTACATGAAAATATTCAAAATGGGAAAACTTTGCAAAAAGAATAAAAAAACTTTTGACAGAAAGAAAGAGAGGAAGAGATATAGAGAGTTGGGAGGGGAACAAGGCACAGAGAGAGAGAGAGAGAGATATATACGAGAGAGCAAAGTTCTTTTCGTGCCCCCTCCCCACCTGCTTTTACTTTTACTACAAGAGTACCTAAAATGAAAGACGTTTATTTTCTCTTAGTTATTGCTTTGTTTTTTGTTGTTATCATTGGTCAGAAATTGTTCGGAATATTACGTCAATGTAAAGGCAAAGGATAAAATGAGAGAGAGAGAGAGAGCGAGAGCGAGAGAGAGAGAGAGAGAGAGTGAGAGAGAGAGAGAGAGAGAGAGAGAGATGGAGAGACCTTCAAGATATTCCAGCCCCTGAAAAGCCCCGTGTCAACCTCTCTAACCTTTTATTTGCCACTGGTACCAATTGGCACACTCGCCCATTCTGCCAAGTTGTCAAACATGCCATTCGACACAAGACAATAGTCACCGTCTACCAGAATAGTTACCTTACGTAATAACTCTGCGAAATCAGCCTTTTCCGGTGTTCGTTTAGTTCCTGACAACCCTAACAAGGTGTATTTAAATCTTGATTAGTTGGTAGGCCCACTGGAAACATGTGAATAATCTCGAGGTGTTTGGTAAAACTACCGCATTGGAAACGTAATATGGCATGGGGGATCATTTCAGTGACATAATACACAAAAAGATGGCATATAATCATGTATCCTTCGCACAGCCTGTAAACTTTAAAGAGATAGTTGAGTTCGGTTGCAGAGGGCGCTGCACCAAATAATTTTTGCGTGAGATAATGAAAAACTGAGTGTCAAAATTGAAAGAACATACAATTTAAATGACAAAATCATCTTTGTTTGATCAAAATCGGTTCAGAAACTACTTAAATATCCATAAATATAACGATTTCTAATATTTGTGTACCACCACAATTATTAGATAATTTGAATCAGCCGTTGAAAAAAACGAAATAGCGCCTTTAACGTTGTATTTCAGCCAATGCCGATGTTGGCTTTTTTGTTGGCTTTTTTTGTGTTGATTATATTACGCACATCCAGCCGGCCCACGTATTGTTATTATTGATTAATTTATTCATTAACGGTCACCGTATTTATTTGAAAGTTGAGCTGAATTGGTATGATCATATTGGCAACATTTTACACATGTTGGGGTTTAAATTTACCTTCATTGCAAGTTTAGGTTATCAAAGGGCACTAGGAATGTCATAGATAAGATTGAGAACAACAACCATGCACTTTGAAGGCATTTGCGGTCTGGAAACAGAACTCAATTATCCCTTTAAAGACGCATAGTAGTGGGCTCACATTGGCCATTGACACCATTTGGGCGTTAACCACACAACAGGTGTTGCCAATCACCGGGAGTGGCATTCAGTTTTATAAATAAATAATAATAATAATGGGTTCTTTTATAGCGCTCACGTCAGTCAGATTTGACCCTCCTGGCGCTCCAACAGGTCTGTAATGCTCTGCCAAAAAATTGGCAATTTTGCTGTCAGTTAGGTAGCATGATAAGGGATTATGTTATTATTTTGTGCATGTAATTATATATTTATGAATATGTATTCGTCTATTTATTTGTTTTAATTTATTTATGCTCCTACTTCTTTCTGTCTATAGGTTAATTTATTTGTTTATTGATTAATAATTGGTTCTTTAGTTATGCAGTTATTCTTTTTTTTTAAATCTAGATGCTTATAGATTGTGATTTGTTTTCCCCTGCTCAGGTAACCGGCCTGTCGTCCAACAAATATTTCATCATCGGTTCCATATTGTCGACATATTTCGTTTTCCGCTGGTCGGAGTCGTTCTTCCGCCTAAATCTTCGTTCAAAGAGATCCCAGTCTATGCATATGACAACTCCATAAAAGTTGAGCTCACACTCAAAGAGAGCGGTCGCTTCATGGAAATTGATACCGGTAAAGCGACGTTCATCGTAAAGAAGAGTAAGTTTCCTGTTGCCAAGGGCCGGACACACATATATAACCACAACTCTAATTTTAACTCTAACTGTAACTCCTACTCCTACTATGACTATAACTACAACTACAATTACTGCCACAATAGACCAGTTCGTAGTTAGCACATGGGTCATATGACCCCAAATATCCACATATCTTTTAATCATAGATAAATATAACTTTGTGAATTTTGGAATAATCACAGCTAAACTCATGGAGGTGATTCTTTGTTTGCCCTCTTGAAAAGATTACTTTCACCTGTAGTCAATAGAACGCACCACAGGTGTATGCACGAATAATGATTACATAACTTTCGTGAGCATGTATCCAGTATTAGTCTCAGTGGGTTTTTACAATTTTGTTCAAGTGACCTTTATCTGCGCATGCGCAGATCCATCCGCGCACGCTCAGATTGTATCTACGAACTGGTATATTAAAAACTAAACCTAAAACTCCTTTGGAAAAAATCAACGTGAGGCAATTTTAATGGCCATGTATGTATGTTACCTTTTCCAATGTGTGAACATTGTAAAGACGTATTACGTAATCAGAAGGTGATTTATATAAAATAAACAATATGGAAATTTCCCTGGAGTGAATGTTTTAAAAGTAGTAGCGAAAATGATGTGATGCTAAGGTTGCTCAAACTTGGGTATATAGAGGGCAGCACACTGAGCCAACGGGTATTACGCTCCCATGCGAACTAGTGTCCCTAATATGCGTACGTCTGTATGGGAGCGTAAAACCTGTTTGCTCAGTGTTCGCCTAATTGCCTACTTCACGAACGACTATATACCCAAGCTTGAGCAACTTTAAAGATAAATGAACGAAGGTAAAAACATTCCAGTTATTTAAACTTTTTCTTCATTTTCAGACATTTTAACTTTGAATCGCTACAAGAATATTTATAACGATGAAGGGAAAGGCACCCCAGTCGTCATCTCGACATCGACCACGACATTTGACAGCGATGCGGACAGTGACGTCGACCCCGACATCCATTGTGACGACGGCAAGCCAATGTGCATTGAGGGTAACAGTGATGGTCCCTTGGAGGTAGTTGTAAGTTTAACTTCATTTCATTTAAATTTATTTTGACTCATTAAAAAATAAGATAAAGAGCGATGCATACAAATTGCTAGATTACACGGGGGGGGGGGGAAGAAGAAGAAGAAAGAGAAAGAGGAAAAACATTAAAAGTGATAAGGGAATAACTGCAGATTGAAATACTTGTCTATTTTACCCCCTTTAATCAAATTAAAATTTGAAAACAGTGACCAAAAGAATAAATTGATCTATGTAATATTTTGTATCAAAATGACAGGTTTTGCCCGACTGCATGACAAAACCGAACGCTAAGATTCCGCAAAATAACAAGTTCTTCTTCATGGATGTAGACTTGTCAGGAGGCACACCCATCAAGGCCGCTAACACAGAAAAGGTAAATGCCTGATAATTATAAGGCCCCCAACAAACCATGTGGTTGTCCTCGATTGCTTTTCTGGAGTAGGGGCGGGCGGATGTTTTTTTTTTTTTTGGGGGGGGGAGGTCTTTCTTTACTTATATAAAAAATAAATAAAATATGAAAAAATATATTTAAAATAAAAAATAGAAAATCATTGGGATGTCAAGCATTTAAACAACAAGGTCAATTAACCACTTTAGTTTACTATCATCTTTCATAAAATATGTACAATGAAAATCAAGACCTACACAGAAAGTATTTTTGGCTTTAAAATACAGCACCTTTTAAAATGAGTTTAAGAATGCTCAGAACCTGATTTGAATGAACCCCATTTTGACAAAATGGAATGTTAATCAACACAGAATTGCGTACTGAAAAGACTAAACTGGCAACGGGACGCATTTTGATCCTTGCAAAATGCATACAATTGTATATTAGGTGTTTAAAAATGCTCCCCCCCCCCCCCCCAAAAAAAAAGCAGGCCGAAAATGACAACCACATGATTTTTTATTTGTTTTGGCCTGATAACAACAGCAACACAATTATAAAAACTTACGATGATGAACATATGAATGATAATTATAATAGTCATGATTATACTAATTATAAACTTAATAATAATATAGGATTTTCTGGCCAAATTCGCGAGTTTGTCGTAAAAATTAGTTTGTCTTCCGTTCAAATTCGACGGTTTTAGTGCAGTCAGGTATATCTCGGGTTTATATTCCCTTTTCTAGTTTTCAAATCTATGGAATTTTCGTTAGTATCTACGTATGTTTCATTCAAATTAATGAACAATGTGCTTCTTTCGCTATTTGGTCATTCGATTTGGCGCAAAACGAATTTCTGACAACGCGACGTTGTACTTCTAGCATTCTAATTCATTTGTAGCATTCAAATTAGCACTTTGTGCACTTAAATTGATGGTCAATATACATTTTTTACGTTAATTACACACTTTTTATAGCTCATTCTTTTTCTTTCAAGCTTGTTTTTTCATGTGTATTTCATCATATTTCATTTTCTTGCATTTATACACTTATACTTATAAGATTTATCTGATATTCATCAGCATTTAAGTTTGATTGTTAAGAAGAAAAAAAAGACTTGCATCTACGGACCTGGTGGTCTCGGTATATTTGTAAATGTTCATGTAAGGAAGTTGTTTGTCTTATGTTTCATCATAAATTTATCATAATTTCATTATGGAAGAAGGGTACAATATTGTGACTGGGGTAGGGACTAGAGTCAACAATTTGAACATGATTCATTATTTAGCTATGTCTTTAGCGATCGATCTGCTGGCGGGCAAGTAAACAATGAGAATCTTTAAGAAAAACAGAGGGGTGTGCTGGGTATAAGAGACGATGTGAATTACTTTTGTAAAATTCCGAGTCTGTAGTAAAAAGGGTCGATTGAGGGTACCCCACCTTTCCCGGGTATATGAACATGTCCGTGCAGAAATGCCATATCCCTTGATTTCGCCCCTTCTTTACTTTATGTCTGACAACACCCATCTGCATTGTCCTGAAAATAAATAGATGGAATAACAGCTTAGACCCAAATGGCAAATCATGCATTTTAACTGCCTTATTTAACAACTGTAACAGTTTGTTGCAATTCTTCCCCCTAACATTCTTAACTTGAATAAAAATATTACGAATACGAATGACAGGTGTTAATTTGAATGATAAAAATTACGCTTCGACAAGTGAATATTAATTTGAATGCTAGTTGAGCAGTTTCTAAATTGAATGACAGATCTATGGAACCCTTCGACCAAAATCCCAAATTAAATACAAAAACTGGAAATTGAATGATAATTGGCATGGCAAAGCCAATCTGCGCTAACTTAAATGCAAAGTAAATGAATTCGAATGACAAACACGCAAACTTGGCCGGGAAATCCTATAATAATAATAAAAATTATAATAATAATAATACTAATAAGATTGATCATAATTATGATATCAATGAAAGTGCATCACTCGTTCTTTCTATTTTAAAGACTGTATAAATCTGAATAGTATTTACCCCCCCCCCCTCCCCCGATGGCCTATAACTGTTAGCTTTCAAAGGAGAGTTCCTTCATATTTCACTCTTATTTTAGTTTATTTGTTCAATAAAATAGTGCATGCAAAATAAGTGATATGAGGTACCCACCATGAGTGTCTCACAATGGAATTCACGTTTATTTTCATCATATTTTTGTTGGTGAATCAATTTAAAATGTGAAAATCTGAAATATGAATAGGCTACATTTCTGAAACTAAAGTGAAGCTCAAATAATAATGATGTTGAGCATGATGATAACAACAAAAATAGATATAATGATAATAATCATGTTGATAAAAGGGATAATGACTTTATAAATATTATAATAATATTAATGATGATAAGGATAGCAGTAATAATGATTATAGTAGCTAAATCTAGGGTATTAATATCCAAAGCTGTTTGGAAGCACATTGAGACGTTATATAATGTCATTTGTGCTATAAAAGACATTAACATTATTATTTATAACAAAAATGAAAATAATGACGATAATAATATTAATAACAATAATACTGTAATGATAATGTAGTATTTCCCGCTTAATTTTGCAACGTGGTTTTTCGGTTTAATGTTAAGAGCATTCAAACTCACGAGAGTTGTAATCGCCACGACAAATTATAATTCCGATTTATTTTGGTACGTTCTAATTCGTTACTCATGCAAAAGCTTTTCAAATGAATCATGTAGATAACAATACGGAACATAAGATTTAACGAATGGTCAATCGTTTTAATTTTCTCTCGTTCGAATTTGTTATCAGTGCAAACAATTTTTCAAATGAGTCACCCGAATTATAAAAAAACACGCAATTTAAGGATTGGGCATTCGACATAATTTTCCCTCGTTCGAATTTACTATCCTTGCAACATTTTTCAAAACAACTTTTCATGAAATGGCAAGCATGTTTTAAATAAATTTTAGATTTAAGATGCATTGTCCAAAAACAGCTATTATTACATGTAGGCCTTCCTTGCTCATTCTCCTTCGATCTATCACCTCATCAGTCACTTCCAAAGCTCCAATGTGAACAGTATAAACATAATTTCGAAAAGGTGCACAATTTCAAGCGATGGTTTAAATCAAACTTTCTAAAAGGAACACATGTAAAAACAAACAAATAGCTTAACAATCATACTGTCATTGTAAATATCGTCAAATATGTTGTTTTTGAAGTCTTTAAATCTGATGACTTTGCATTTGAAGAAACAAGTAATCTCATTAACGTCAAGAGAATACACATGATATATGGCACAACAAGCCTATACACATATCAATATTACACAAACACATAGTGACATACACAGATATAGAGATATGTATTTATATGGAAAGAAAAAAATATAAACACTCACACACAAACATACGGAATCTACGAATAATCGAATTGAATTTCCCTAATTGCCCGAAGAGGGATCCTCAGGATTACTTTGTTTATTTGAACGCACGAACCTCAAATTATTCCACACACGAAATTTGATATCTGATATCGGAGGTTTAATATCGAATCTGGTGAAAACGAATGCAGGGGGTATTGGGGATCATATTATCTCTATTGCTCTCGTAATCTCACAGATCTACACCATCAACATTTTCAAAACCAATTCGTTATTAATAATCATATGCCCCATTCGTTTTTATTGTTCTTGCTCGTTTTATTTCAATTGTTAATGTTTTTCCTTTTCATCTTGTTCTTCTTCTTCCCGTCTCTCTCAATCTTTCTTGAAACAGATTTGTACATAACGTCTTTGCCAGACGGTCAAGACCCCAACTTGTGGATTGGTAATCTCGGGGAAACAAAAACAGAATTTACATCTTCGATCGTCTAAACTGTCATGACGTCACTTAAGGACGTCCATAGGTTCATTCTTTCCAACAAACGGCTGGAATGGTAGCCTACTGCTTGGACTGTTCCTTCTAGGTCAATTTTGCGATGTGATTCAATCTAATGCATATATCTTGTGTGAAGTGCCTGGTTACAAATAATTCAATATTAGTAGTAAGAATGTAAATGGCATATACAACGTGTAGTTAGGACAAGCCAGGTTTGTCTTGAGATGTTTATCCTGAAGAAAAAAGCGTTATTCAAAAAGAAAAGGAAAAAAAATGGAAAATGGAAGAAGAAAAAAGAAGAAAATCAAAGAAATCAAAGAGGAAACAAAACGAAAAAGAAAAATGAAAGAAAAAGCAGCGCTTCCAGGTTTTTTTGCTCAACCTTTTCACTCTCTTTCTTCATAACTCTTTTTCTTCAAATTACCGTCAAGTCATTGCGTTTTGTCTTTTCGGGTTTTATCTACTTGCCAAATTTAAAGAATGTATAATGTCTATGCATGCCATGTATAAAGAACTTATTCTACATTTTTTTTAATGTTTACAGGAGGCCGTCTATCGGAACATGTAAATGGCTCAGTTTTCTTAGTATCCCCCCCCCCTATATACATCTTATGACGCTTAAGAATGAAAGAATGATCTTTAACTTGATACAACAGGAAGGGAACCCATAAGAGGCCCCTTCAACCTCAAGCTAATCCAACGAAAATTATTTCAAAATTGAGGGAGGATATTTGAAATATTCAGTTTCAGTGTTAGTCTCAGTTATTATTGTTTCATATTTGACATACATTTTACATTTTGCAATAATTTCACCCAAAAATGCTACTGATTTTAAAACATAAATTATATTAACAGAAGTTTTAAAGAAAGGAAATATTAAACAAAAATTAAAAATGAGCCACTATCTCGCACCTATTTGTTTGAATGCGTTAAATCAAAAGATTGAACTAAAGAAAAGTGACATATGTATGGGCCTACGTTAAGAGCTATAATTGTAAGTTATTGGCGTCAAAGGGAAAGTCATTTTTTATCAGTATGTTTAATAGATTTTGTTGTACTAATAATCGAAGATGTCGTTGGCGAAACTGTTCCTGATATTCCGTTTATAATAGTCTTAAAAATAGATGGAACGAGCAATTTTAGGTTTACTGTCATTACTACAATAGTGAAACAAAATTACTTGGCAATCACTGCAATAAAACTTACGGAGGCAGTGGCGTGAATTTCGGACCACATTCCCTATAATATCCTTTGCATTTTGAAGACCATATCAGAAACAAATTGCAACTTTATAACAATAGACAGCTCTATGAGCGTAGAATGCAAATATCAAGGAATACAAATGTTTTCCATCTCATTATTAAACAAAAGCAAATTCAAAAACTCTTTTTACGCACTCTTTCAAATAACGGGTCAACAGGGGTCGAATTTGCCGCAGTTACGGTAATGACATAACGGTTTACCCCAGTTGCGGATCCAGGGGGGGCGCCCCCTTGACTTCCTTTGACAAGGATGGCGGCCTCAAAAAAAAAAAAAAAAAAGAGTGCCCATGTGAGCCCCAAAAAGTAAAAACACTTTTTGTATTATATCTTTTTATGAAAGGATTGTGACCATATGGTTTATTCTAAAAATATTAAGTTGATATATTCTCCAACCTTATACAAATCTATCTTAAGGGTCACAGAAATAGCAATTACTTTATTAAATGATTCGCTGTTGCTCTTTAAGTTGGAATATTCTTTTATAATTCAAACATTTCTTACTTTTTACGCTTCACTCAGTAATTATTGAATTTTGTTTAATTGTAAAATGTGTCTTCACTACTAGGTGTAATGGATAGTTGTATAATAATGCATTTCGTGAGCCTTTTTTGTTTGTTGAAGGTATAAGAGGCATCGCACTTCGATATTTTGTCAATTTCACTTTCAAAAGGCGTATGTGCATCTAGTTAGCTGTATCATTTTGAACCAAATTTGGCTATACGCCGCAGAGTGATTACGCTCCACCAGGAAGGACACAAACTACTACTGTGGTACGGTATATCACTGAAACAGCACCCGTAGGACTTTTTTGCCAATATTGATTGATTGATTGATTTTTTTTAATTTTTTTATACATTGGGGTCTAGGCTATCAGAAATTGATTGAGTTCAAATTTTTCCAAAGACACCACATTTCCCTATTGCGCTTTTTATAAGCCATTTTGGCGCCCAATATGGACCCCCCAGGAAATGAAGGAGGGGTCTGTAAATTTGAACCCCATCATTTTGGCCAATTGGGACCCTTTCGGAGCCAAAACAGCAAAAAAAAAAAATCAACTTTGGCAAAAAAATCCAACGGGATTACATACCACACCGCACTTTAGTCGATATCGCTGGTTTCCTTGGGATATCACAGAGCACGGTCTCTGCAATCCTCAAACTTCATTGGGAGGAGGGTAATACCGGCTACGGCAATCTCCAGGACGACCACGATTGACCAGCGCACGGGATGATCGCCGGTTGCTTAATCCGTGCCGTCATAACAGGAAGATCCTAACAAGTCCATGTGTCCCGCCCAACTGTCAGTCGGAAACTGCTTCAACATGGTTATCGGGCAAGACGAATGACCAAGCGTCCACGCATGACCGTTAGACACAGAGTTGCTCGACTTCAAGAGACTAGGGAGCACAGAAGACTACAGCTAGGACACTGGTGACATGTCATCTTCATGGATGAGAGCCGCTACGTCCTTGAGCGTACAGATGGAAGGCAACGGGAGCGTCGAATACCTTTATAACACCAGAGAGAGATGACGCGTTCGGGAAACGACTCAAGAAGGTGGTTGGTCCGTGGTTGTATGGGCCGGAATCCGTTATGGTGAAAACACGCAACTGGTAGTTTCGGATGGAAACGTCAACGCCATCGTGCACCGGGTCATCCTGGAGAACCACTGCCTTCCACACACAAGAATGGTCTATGGAAACAATTTCCGGCTGCAGGATAAACACGCTAGGCCACAAAGAGCATCTACAGTGAGATAATACCCTGACGCAGAGAGGGTGCAGCAGTTGCCATGGCCTGCCTACTCCCTGATATGAACCCTATCGAGCATGCGTGGGACACTCTAGGCCGAGCCATCAATGACAGGGACAATTTTCCTCAAACTCTACATGGGTTATTTCAGGCTCTGATCAACGAGTGGGACGCTCTGGCCATTGACTCCATCAACAAGCTCGTTGACAGCATGCCGCGACGTCTCAACGCACTGATCCATACCAGGGATGGTCATACCCGATATTAGTGACTGATTGACATTTGAAAGAGAAAAACAAAACACAATTCATGCATGAAATTCATCTAAATATTTGTTATATCTTATGCCGACCAATTTAAACATTGTAGCCTAATCCTTCGTTTCGCTGTTTTCATACCCCTTTTTGGTTGTTGCCTTGATACACCCTTTGCAAAGTTTAATTGTAGTTAAATTTCAATGAAATATGACCTGAAGGAATCGATCAATAAAACGTTATGGTTGTATTCATCATAGATATGACTAAAACAGCGTGATGTCTTATTGATTGTACGTTAAGTTGTAACAAAAATATTACAACTTTATGGGCGACAGTGTACTTATATACAAAGTTGTTTCAACTGTATTTAAGCCTGTTCGTGTTGTCATTATTCTAAGCTACATATTGAAACGATGTTATAGATGCGTTGACATATTATCGAATCAGTTTGCTATGTTTATTGTTGCAAAAAATCTCAATAAATCCACATACAAACACAAATTTGTCCCAGTGATTAGTGATTGCATGGCTTATCCGAGAAAGGTATACTTTTTCACTGTTAACAATGCTCTCTGAAAAGAAGAAAAAGGGTTAAAACCTAGCTTTGATAGTCTAGATCACAATCATTAACGATTATGATGGTATTGAATTTATAGTAACAGGGTTCGTTTTTTTCAAGAGTTATTAGTGGCCTTAAAATGAGAGGTGGGTCTATGATGTATGTGTCTGTGTTTTTTTCCGGCGAGTTGAATATAAGTTTGCTCTGAATATATGTTGAATAGGAACGGACTGGAGTCAAATTAAATTGCAAATAAGAGGAAACATCAATGACGTCATGAATCAAAGACTGTAACGCAATATGCTAGAGTACAAAGGCTAACTCCTTTGGCATTAATTTTCGGATCTTGCCTGTGGGGGGGGGGGCGTAAGGAGGAGAGTGAAATAGAGAGAGAGAGGGGGAGAGAGAGAGTGAGAGAGGGAGAGAGAGAGATGGGGAGAGAGAGAGAGGGAGAGGGAGAGAGAGAAAGAGAGAGAGAGAGAGAGAGAGACCGGGGGGGGGGTAAGTGGTAGTAGGAGAGAGAGACAAAAAAATAATGCAGAAAAGGAGGGGAACATAGTAGAGATATAAGAAAATTCCATAAGAATTGAGAGAGAGAGACACCGGGGGGGGGGGGGGGAGTAAGTGGTAGGAGGAGAGCGAGACAAAAATAATGCAGAAAAAAGAGGGTAACATAGTAGAGATATAAGAAAGTTCAATAGGAATAGAGAGAGAGAGAGAGGGAGAGAGAAAATAGAAAGGGGCAATCAGACAGAACGATATAACGAAAGAGAGAGATAGAAAGAGGAAAGGAGAGATAAGAAAAGACGGAGAGAGAGGAGTTAACTAGAGATCTGATAGAATAACGAGATGAGAAAGGAATACCAGAGCGAAATATAGCTAATGAGAGAGAGAGCGGGATGGAGAAGAATCTTTCGCATGCACTGATGCAAAGTGTTAGGCCTAGCCTTTTCTTCCCATTGGTCGATGAGTAAGCTAGCAGTGATTGCAACACAAATCAATGCGCACAAATTGAAAACTGGCTCATCAATGTGTTGCTGCACGAGTTGCTACACGTCCATTGAACAGTTAGGCTCGCAACACCATATCTTTGACTTCCAACATAGGAGAATAGAAGCATAATTCACAATGGGTGGAAAAGCATCGAAAAAGCGAAGTGCGGGATCTACGATCCGGCAGTCGGGAGGCGCTGCCGCGGTGGAACCGTTAGCGTCGGGTGATCAACGCCAACCTGGGCAGTCCAGCGAGCCAGAGCGAGTTGATTCAAACACGCGTGGAGATAACACTGAGAGTTCCGAAGCGGCTATTTCTTCGAAGCAGGCGGTACCGAAAGAAGTGGTCGAGGCGAGTAACGCACACGAGGTAGCCGCGGTTACAACCGCAACAGAAAAGAAGACGCCCTGTGAACCTCATGATGGTGAAGAGTTGGTAAGTGGTAGGCCGATAGATACTTAGTCTGTTAAGTTGAAACAAACACATTTCACCTATGGAGAGGGGAATGAGCGGTGAAGATGACCGCAGCGCTGAGGTAATGACCACGGTTAAGTGGTAAAGTCATTGTTTTCCTTCAATGCATGATGACCAATAACGGTAGAGTTTGTTTGTTTGTTTTATTGTGTGTTTGTAATACCTGACGGCTAAGAAGGCATGTGTATGTTTGTAAGTAAGCAATCAGGAGACCAACGGCTTTAAGTCATCTCCGATGGACTTGGTATTGAAGAGTAATGCCTTACCGAAGGGCACTATAGCGAACCATGGACCTTCCGGTTACAAGACCATTGCTCTACAGTGAGCCATCGTGCTTCCGGTGATATAAACAAATTTACCAAAGCCAAGCAATTCTTCCCACGAAGCAGTGACTGTAATGAGTAATAGCGTTGCAGTGAATAGCTAAAGGCTCGAGGTAACAACCCCAAAAAGGGGTGAGGGGGGGGGGGGGGGGGGGGGGGGGGAAACAAGATGGGTAAAACGACATCAACTTGGGAAAGGGGGGGGGGGGGTAAAACAAATAATTGAAAGTTCAATAAATACATTTAATCTATATTCACCACAGTGATGTAATAGTTAATAAACAACTTCGGGGATATAGAAACCCTTACCCATATAAGCCAGGCCCTCTCCCCGAGATGCTGAAATTACCAACTGATTCTTTGTTTCTTTAAAGATACACTCAGGCGCGTACGCAGGGGGGGGGGGGTTGGGGGGTTGAACCTCCCCCCCCCCCCCCTTTGGTAATTTTTTGTGTGTAAACCCCCTAAATTTCTCAAAACCCCCCCCCCCCCCTTTTGGATTTTTTTTTTTTTATAAAAAAAAAAAAAAAAAAAATATTCCCATGGTTGACCTAAAAAGCTGACCTTACCCCCCCCCAAAACGGAGCAAAATGTCAAATTTTCAAATTTCGAGACCCCCCCCCAAAAAAAAGTGACCTCTTACCCCCCCCCCCCCCCCCCCCCCCCCCCCCCCCCCCCCCCCCCCCCCCCCCCCCCCCCCCCCCCCCCCCCCCCCCCCCCCCCCCCCCCCCCCCCCCCCCCCCCCCCCCCCCCCCCCCCCCCCCCTTGAAAAAATCCTGCGTACGCGCCTGGATACACTTATATATAAAATGTTATCCCAGTAACCTCATCGCCTCTCCCTTGACCCTTTAGCCTGGTATACAGAGTCCCTTCTAAAAGTTTACAAAAACGAGAGTATTTTTAACCTAACTTTTACCTGAAGTTGCAGTCCCGTACAAGGTTCTCTATTTTTACTCCATTTGTAATTATTCTGGCTGCACGTGCTTGTGTAATAAAAACTTAATTTCAACAACAACAGAAAGAGGAAGTCTTAAAAAGGAAGGAGGAAGGTAAGTGAAACCAGGAATTGATCCTTTATGGTCATACTCTTTTGTTTGCTATTCGATCTGCTCCACACATGAAAGTGTTATTATCCTAACGTATGGCACTGCGCTAGCGGCTTCCAACCGATGCACTATGAAAAAAAAACCTTTTCCCCAGAGAACCCAGCGACAGAGCAAGAATATTAGCTTTCGGTAGTTTGAAAATTTCTGACCTCAGTTTTTTCTTCGTCCTCTCAATTGTCTATTAAAAGCAGATCGTTAATTATGATGCTCTTTGGCGATTTCTAAATATCAGAGGGGAAGGGGACAACCCCTTTTACATATTCACCAGTTGGAGACATCCCTCATTCCCTTTGAATCACCGACCCTTTAAAGGTTCTATGTCCCATTTGCAGGCCAAAAAAATGAAAAAGTTAAATTCCAACTGCATTTGAAAGATAATACTAATTTAGAACTTCCCTAAAAAAGGTGGGCTTGAAAATGTCTTCAAGTGGAAAAATAACGACTATTAGTTGTCAAATCGACTTTAGGGCTATAGAGCCCAAAAGTAATAGTCTTGATTTTCAGACAATTGTACCGAATGGTCATACGTTTTATGCTGCGCAAAGATTCAATCAGTTTAATCTTGGCCATCACAAGAAGTGGGTTATTGATGTAGACAAATGCTTATGTACCCTTTACAACTCTTTTCATGCATGTTATTACCACCGAAGAAGAAAAGCCAGTCAGTCACTCAATAGTGTCTGACAGTGAAGTCTAGCAAGTAAACGGGTTTCCTTGCATAATTTGAATATGAGGACACTGCTAAGGTTTAAATTTCACAGATAGGACATACATGACATATTCATAATTCCTGGAAAGTTCTACAGCATTTGAGGTTGGCTGCAAAAGGGACATAGTACCTTTAAGAGGTACTATTGAACATCTGCATTCTTTATCTCTTGTAAACATAATGTGAACTAATACTGATAACAACAAACAACAACAATACTACTATTACTACTACTACTACTACTACTACTACTAATAATAATAATAATAATAATAATAAAAAATTATAACAATAATAACAACAACACCAATACTGATAGTAATAATGATAATGATGATGATGATTATGATGATGATGATGATTATTATGATTATGATGATGATGATGATGATGATGATGATGATTATGATGATGATGATGATGATGATGATAATAATGATGATGATGATGATGATGATGATGATAATGATGATGATGATGATAATGATGATGATGATGATGATGATGATTAAGATGATGATGATGATGATTATGATTATGATGATAATGATGATGATTATGATGATGATGATGATGATGACGATAATGATGATAATGATGATGATCATGATGATGTAATAATAATGAGAATGCACGATCGAGGGACCTGAATGACCGTGTAAGAATATTTCAAGTTTTCCAATATTGAAACGAGCGATATTAAAGAGCACGTACCTGCAGCAAAACGAGCATATGTACATAATGTGGTAGGCCGTGCGACACAATGTGTGATTTATAATACCTTCATAATGGCACGTCCAATACCGCTAACGCAATAACAAAAGCTACAATATTCTATGAAAAATTCACTTTCAGTCAATCTAATGCCACGATTGTTTTAACGCTTGTTATTGACAACAATTTTTATGAAACAGGGCCCAGAATATCTATTTTGTTGTTTACATTTTCAGATCGAATCTTCAGATGGGCTTGCTTTTCGGGAGATCTTTGTACAGTATATCCCTGGTAAACCTCATGCTCTCGCGGAGTTTGGAGCACTTCTTTACACTCATCATGATCGCCATGAGTTCATGGATATTGATGGTACAGGACTGGCTCGAGCTGCCGGGCTGAGGTAAATAGGATATGTAACTTTTTGATTCAATTTCAGTTTTCAGTTTATTGTCTCATATTTCACATATATTTCATATTTTGCAGTCATGATTTCACGAAATAAATAATACAAATAAATATGAATTCTGTAACAAAAAATAAAAATTTAAAAAAGAAGATGAGTACCTCATATCAGTTTGTTTGAACACACTAAATTAATACCCTGAACTAATAGGAATAGCGAGAAATGAAGGGAGCTCTGGTTCTGATGAAAGCTATGATTGTGAGTTGTAGTTATATTCAATATAAAACGTAGAAGGTATATTTTATGTATAGAATTTATTATGTTTTTTATATATGCAGTGCATCCCAGAAAAAACGAAACCGAAAATCATCGATGTTTTATCATTACTTAATCACAATTACGAATAATAAATGACACATAATTTGTAAAGCTTAGTTCCTCCTCTTTCATTTGATGCAACTCATCTGAAGCATATTTCACACATTAGTCATTAAGAACAATTTAATGAGAGGGAACCAACAAGCCATTTGGCGGACGGTATCTGAATTTCAAAGAGAAAAGCACATTTCTAGAAAGTTCAGTTTCTGCCCTTTCATATGACACCTCGATCAGGAAAAATGAGCCAGGAATAGCAAAGTTCCGTTCGTTCCATAATTTGATTTTAAACGAATTATTTTTCACTGGGTGCCTCATAGCGACAAACAGTGTTGACAAAAGACTTAACCCATTGCCCACTGGAACCCAGTGACCCCTGTATTAATCCTATGGCAATGAAATAATTCAGTAGTCAACGGGATACCTCTGTTTCGTTGATGATCAGCCATGCATCAAGTCTTTCGTCTTCTTAGAACGAAGCAAGATTTTTCTCGCCATATTGTATCTCCTCCCGTTACCTCTTTGCAGACACCATGATGAACTAATAAGCATCAATAACCCACAGTCGGACATAAGCAGTGCTAGCCAGCTAGCAGTTCTAGAATGTTTCTCAGATATTGGCACTCAGATTGGATTGGTAGGAAGCCTATGCATTTTACGATTTAAAAATATAATTGTAGCCATATTTTCATTACTATTCTCATTATTTCGTATATTGCTAGTTGATTTCTATTTGTATTATCGTCATTTTAGAGTGATTGATTGATTTTTTTTCGGTAATCATGTTTTTATTATTATCGTTATTATTAAAATAATTCTAACTATGACGGCTCCCTACTGTGAATATTATTGGTAATAGTATTATCATTATAATTATTACATATGTTATCATTAAAACTTATATGTATTATAATCATTATTATAATTATTATAAGTATTTTTACAATTAATATTAGTATTATTATTTATGATAATTCAATTTCGTTTAAATGATGATATTCATTAATTTGTATATTTATTTTTTCTTTTCATCTAAATCATTACCATCATTACCATGTTACAATTATTTCATGTCTTTATTGAAGTAAACATTGGAAAAATATGCCATGTCGACTTCTCAATGGACTATGGACTTTTAGCAATATTATCATTTCGAAAGGAAAACTTTATTTCCGTAGATCTGTGATAATGCAATTTTTAATCACGAGTCCTAAAATTAACTCTTTTCTTTCTTTAAAATTTAGGTTATTAAGCGGAAACAGCGGAAACAGGAGGAAACGTGGCTGATTGCTTTTCATCTCAACGAAAAGGGTATTTTCTTTCTCTCTTCCTGCCCATTTTATTTTCAATACTTTTAGATAGATAGGATAAGGAGATAGTATAAACAATTGGAGTAACTACTATGGTTTTACTTTCATTTACAGGCACGCATAAGCTATTCTGCCCCGTACTATATTTTAAATTTAAGATTTTGATCTGATCATGTGTATGAAAGAAAAATGAAACCACAAATTATCCTTTGTGAAAATTGGTGAGCCAGTTAAATTTATCGTTAAAATTACCCTCATCTCAATGTTTATCAAGGAAAACAATCTCTCTGAGGATTGCTAACCATTCTTCCACGGGAGTCGGCCATTTTGAATTTAATAGCGCTGTCAGAGTAATGGGAATGGTTATAGAAAGAAAGGCGAAATACTTTGGCCCTATTTATAGACATTAGAGTCTCTTGAAAACGTTTTGGGAGGAAAAGTATAAGGCAATAGACTAAGAGGGAATCAAGAAAAGCTAAAAGGGGAAATGGAGTGGAATGACACTGCAAGCGTGACTAGGGACCCGTGTATGTATGTTCAATCGGACGGTATAATGGGATTCTGGAAATGTTGCTCTATAAACTTGTTTTGTTTCATGATGACCACACACACGCACACACACACGCGCGCACACACACACACACACTTTATCATTTAATTTGAGAATCATAACTTCCTTAGAGACCTTTAAATTCCAGCAGAAATCTTATCTTTGTTAACAATACCTGTACTTGGCACTATATGACACTCATCCGAACTTTTTCATCCGAACTTTCTCGTCCAAACTTTCTGATTCTCTCTATTTTTCTTGTGCGCCTCGGAATAGCATTGTCTAGATAGACGGCGCTATACAAATGCCTATTATTATTATCATTTTGATGGATGCAGATAACCGGCCAGTTGTGGAGAACATATTCAGCAAAATTATTATTTTGGACAGCTTGCTCATACCAGTCATTCCCGTTGACAGTGCCTTCGACGAAAACCCTGTTTATTCCTATGACTGTTCCGCACAAGTGGAAATGATACTTGAAGATGGCGACCGGCACATGGAGATTGATACTGACAAGGCGACCTACGTTTTATATAAAGGTAAGCTTCTCAATGACTAATTAGCGTATAAGGCTTAACATTTTAAGGGATCCGGTAACTTTGTATCAGATTCTTAGCTCATGCTGCAATGAAAATTATAAACATTTGGGTCAGTCAGGAACCCCATGGCTTTTACAAGCCGATCGCCTGTCTGGTTATCAAGATATTTATAATTGAAATTACAAATTTGCCAAACGGTTTTCATAACACTACAGTCTATTGGGGAAAACGAGTATAGTAAAACCGGTCACTCACAGATTTTTACTTTTTGAGACACTTCTTGATCATTTTGAAGTGCGATTTTATTTAGGGCTTCAATATTACACCATATCACAGACACTGATAACACGTAGGGCCGTGCATCTCATATTTAACATTGTTAAACGATGCCTTTAAGGCATCAACCAATTCGTAGTTAACACATGGTAAAAAGTACCCAATCTTTGAATTGGTATTTTAAAGAGATACTGAACTTTCTGCCCTAGCGTACTGTTTATTGCACAGCGCCATCTCATGGTCAACTTGCCAACAGTGTGTAACCCAGTACTTAATTACCACTTCGCAGACAGAGAACTTAACTTTAGGATGTTTTCAGTTTTACAATTCTGAAATGCATGGCCCTACGTTTTATCAGTGCCTATGTTTTGGTGTGATATTAAAGCCCTACAAAAATTGCGCTTCAAAATGATCGTGAAGTGCCTGAAAAAAAGTTAAAATCTTTAAGTGACCGGTTTTACAATACTCATTTCCCCAATCGACTGTTGTGTAATAAAAATGTACTATGAAACGTCGAATTTACTTTGTTTTCAGTGGGTTCTGCTTATATGCGCAAATTGTATTAAAGATTTAGCTTATTGTCAATAAGTGCGAATGAAGAGGCTGTGCCTTCAGACTAGGTACCAATGATAGGTCTCATCAGATTGGGTTATCCCTGATTTAGCATAATCTTTCTGTCACGTGACTCAGTAACCCGGGCTTGTTCGCGTTACTTTTTTACACAGACTTACGTCGTCAAGCGATCACGGAATGTAGAGCTTAGCTTAAAGTCCACTCCAAATATAACTTACTTTCGATAGAAGCAGAAAAAATCAGACTAACCAATCAAAAAAATCTGAGCAAAATCGGATAACTAATAAGAAAGTTATGAATTTCTAATAACATTAAAAACTTGGAAAATCACTAGACAATTGGCAACTCACTCATGAGTCTGTGACGTCATGTCCTCACTATCCACTAATTATTTTCTTTATATTGATGATCTTATTTCTTCACACCAGCATCCAAGTGAGATTTATAGTAATATGTTTGTGTGTGGATGCACTAATATGGAGTAATTGTTTCCAGTTAAATCATGACAAATGTGAATTTTGATAAACGATTTATATAAAAATCAATATTATGAATATACAATATTCAGAAAATAGTTCTCAGTTAAAAGATTTTGTGAAATGTCGTGCACGCAATATAATACAAATCATATAACCTGGTCAAAGGCATGGGGAAATCAAGTTTTGGGGAATAAAAAGGGAAATTAATGGGATTAAACCATATAGAGCAATTGATAAATAGTGAGGACATGACGTCACAAACTGATAACCAGCTTGGCAGTTTGTGTTGTGAATTTCATTGTTCCATCGTTTAACATACTTTTTCAAAAAATCATAACTTTCTTATTACTTATCCGATTTTGCTCAAACTTGTTTTGATTGGTTGTCTGATTTTTCTGCTTTTATTGAAAGTAAGTTATTTTTCGAGTGGACTTGTCCTTTGAGCAGTGAATCTTGAGCCCGCTGCACACGCGTTGTCATTTCGATTGCGCCATTCGAGGCCATTCGGATTCATGATAACGCACAAAACATGTCAAAGTGCGATCTGTTACCAGAATTAATGAATTAATTGATTTATGGGCTTTTTGTCTTCTTGTGGGCGGAGACCGATTCTTAATCCCTTTGCAAACGTGGTGTTATTTAGATCGAGCCATTCGATAGAGGACATTCGAGTTAATAATAAAAGTGCACAAAACCGGTCCAAGTTCGATTTCTTGCGAGAAAAATGAATGGAAGAATTAATTATTGAGCTTGTTGTCTTCTTGTTGGCAGAGATCGTGACTCTTAATTACTACGAAACGATATTTGGTACTGTTCCCGGTTTAGCGCTTTCCATCTCAACACCAGAATCGTCCGACCGCGATTTGGACAATGGAATCGACTCCGATTGTGACAAAGATGATAGTTCGATGTGCATTGAGGCTGTCGATGTTGGTCCTCTCAGCGTAGTCGTAAGTTCACTCTTATTATCATCATCATCTTCATCGTCATCATTATGATCACAATTACAGTCATCCTTATTATGCCTACCCTTATCGCAATCATCACTATCATTTTCATCATCATCTTAACCACCATCATCATCACAAATATAATAGTAGTAGGAGTAATAGTATTATTAATAATAATAATAATAATATTACATTTTTATATAGCGCTTAATACAAATGTATCTAAGCGATTGACAAATATACTATTACCCGGTCATTGGATTCAGTGCTTGCCTTCACACAATGTGTGCACATTCTCCACTCCCTGGGGAGCATTCCTGCCAGGCGTTACATGATGCTCAAAAACTGTTTGACCAACAATGACAATGACAACAATTAATACTAGTTGTATTAGTGATGACTATGATGATAATAATAATGATCATAACAGTTCAAGATAAAGACCAATTATATTGCATTGTGAAAGAAGCGTTGTGGAATCGATCAGAAAAAGTTGATCATCTAGCATATAAGTATTGGTGTGTACTGCAAGGTTCTGGAATCATCAAAATGATGAGAAATTTGGCCCAGTCTTCGTAAAGTTCCAAGCACCGTACACAGAAAGATGTATATGGGACTACGCACACGTGCGCGACACGTGCGTTTATCTCTCACAGTCCAATAGATAAACTAATACCAAATATATCAATTAGTAGGCGGTTTCCCGGCAAAAATGTTATATCATCATGTATTAGTCAAAACATATTCTTTCACATGATTCGTAATAAGAGCTTCCATTTCATTTTTTTGAAATTGGGGCTATTCCAATACTGATCTTTACCTTTAAATTAAAAATGATGATGATTATGTTGTTTCTACACTAATACTGCAAACTTACTTTCATTCCCTGATTGGACAGTCCTTTCCCTCCTACATGACGGGGCCTGACCCGATCCTGCAAAACAACATGTTCTTTATCATGGCTATTCTCCCTACTGGATCAGAAGTCTTTAAGGCTGCCAACACACAAGACGGTAAATGTTTAACTTGTATTGTATGTGTGTGGGGGGGGGATTTGTGTGCGTGCGTGCGTGTGCGTGTGTGTGTGTGTGGAGGGGGGGTTCGTTGGCATTTGTAGGGGAACACCCCTTTTCTTAATGAAAAAGAAATGTTAGGCATATGTGCGTGCGCGTGTGTGTGTGTGTGTGTGTGGGGGGGGGGGGGGTGGTTCGTTGGCATTTGTAGAGGGAACACCCCAGGCCTTTTCTTTATGGACAAGAAATGTTAGGCATTTGTGCGTGAGTGTGGATGTGTGTGTGTGTGTGGGGGGTGGTTCGTTGGCATTTGTAAAGGGAACACCCCTTTTCTTGATGAAAAAGAAATGTTAGGCATTGTGTGTGTGTGTGTGGGGGGGGGGGTCGTTGGCATTTGTAGGGGGACACCCCTTTTATTAATGAACAAGACATGTAAGGCATTTGTGCATTTGTGTGTGTGTGGGGGTGAGGGGGGGGGTTCGTTGGCATTTGTAGGGGGACACCCTTTTCTTAATGAAAAAGAAATGTTAGGCATATGTGCGTGCGCGTGTGTGTGTGTGTGTGGGGGGGGGGGGGTTGTTCGTTGGCATTTGTAGAGGGAACACCCCTTTTTTTGATGAAAAAGAAATGTTAGGAATTTATGTGTGTTTGGGGGGAGGGGGGGGGGGGTTCGTTGGCATTTGTAGGGGGACACCCCTTTTCTTCATGAACAAGACATGTAAGGCATTTGTGCATTTGTGTGTGTATGGGGGGGGGGGGGGGGTTCGTTGGCATTGGTAAGGGGAACACCCCTTTCTTGATGAAAAAGAAATGTTAGGCATTTGTGCGTGCGTTTCCTTGTGAGGATGAGGGGGGGGGGCACACCTCCAAATACATAACTTTGTTAGCATTTGTCTGGAGGTTCGTCTGGGGTTGACTCCATCCTCCTAATAAAGGGAGATGTGATGTGGTTTGACACATTCTGAAAAATAAATTGGTAATTTATTATTTATTCCATTTTCCTTTCTTCACTTTTTCAAAACGATGAAATCTTTTTCGTTAACTTGATTAACGGCTACAAATCTGCTGGATTACGCCGTGACGTAGACCTACCGAACACTAAACCATTTTCCTGTGATCAAATTTTAGAAGAAAAGACAATTATATTAGATTTAGAAATCTAAAGATACAACATTATTTTGTGACCTTATGATACGTTTCTATCTCGTTAATATTTTACGTTAACTATTAAATCATTGTAGTATTTATATTGTATTACTATTATTCAGTGGCGGATCCAGCCGGCGGGAAGAGGGGGGAGGGCCCAATCCGTGAGGAAATATTAGTTGCGACTCAGCCGTCGGTGAATAAGCGGGGGGGGGGGGGGGGGGGGGGGGGTAGGAGGCACTTTTTTTTGGTCCAATTTTTCAGGAAATATTTTGCGCCGACTCAGTCAGCCGGTGAATAAGCGGGGGGGGGTAGCTAAATCTTAATACAAAATTTAGTGCCGTCTCAGATGACCGGCGAATAAGCGGGGAGGGGGCGCTTTTGTTTTTAGTTTTATAAAGGTTAACTTTACGTTATTATCCTATTTTGTTATCGTTTTGGGGGGCTGGGGGGGGGCGGGCGGGCCGGAAAAATCGCTACGTGGATCCGCCCCTGCTATTATTAACCCCACTCTTTCTTCCAATCCTTTCTGCCCCCCCCCCCCCCCCCTCTGTCTCTCTCACACCCACACTCTCGACCTCACACACACACACACACACGCAAACTGTCAAACCTTCTCTCGGCACCTGCTTTCTGTCTCGTTGTTTCTTTACCCCCCCCCTCCCCCCTCTCTCTCTATTATCTTCAATGTATCTCTCCCCCCCCCCCCCCTCTGACTATCATTCCCCGCCACCATCTTTCTAATATATTTTATGCGCCTCTCCCTCTCTCTTAGGGACAGAACTATACATATCATCCGACGAAGAGGATGCCATGCTTTGGGTTGCAAGTCTGAGAGCATCGTCTTCCAAGTTCCGTATTGAATCTGACGGCAAAGTTCTGAAAACAAGAGAAGATTTTCTCAAACTATTCAAAGCCTGTGACAGCTAAATCCACAATCAATCAGAGCGTCTTCAGTTGTTCGAACAAAATACATCACCTATTGCTCCACAACATTTTTTAATGAACCTTTGATTATAAAATTAGGCAAATCGAACAATAATGGTCTATTAATCAGTGATTGTTATCAATACATGTCTTGTATATATCATTCATCTTTATAATAATTAGGGTAATGTACGTTTGCATTATTCCTACCGATCCTACGCCGCATTTAACGATTTTTGCTCTGTCTTTTTCCACCTCTCTGACTCTACATTATTCACATCTTGTCTCATGTAACTGTATCTGTTTATGTCATCTGTATGCAATATGATAACAAATGGTGTTTGTTCATTTACTTTCAATTAGTTCTGTTCATTTGCTTAGCTAATTCGTATTATTTTTACGACAATTTTGTTTTCTCTCAATATAGTCAAAGGGCCTACATTTAACAAGCTATACAGTTCTTAGTAGACCCCTCCACATCTCCCCATGAGTTTGTTGTTCTAGCTCTTAATCTGTTCATCTATTCATCATTCTCTGTGTTTTTTAAAATCAAATCAATGTCAATATTTGTCACAAACTTGAACAATATGTGAAATATGAATGAATAATGAATGAATGATTTATAGAATATTTGATAAAGATATGAACATGTAAACAAATCTTTAAAACAAGCAGACATTATACAAATATGTAGAAAGTAATTTAAAATGCCATTTCCAGGTCGGATCGTAAGATGAATAAAATGTTGCGCATGAACAGCTTTAGGATAAATTACAATTGCAACTGTTGAAATTTATGAAAGTGTAATCAAACTAGACTTAAAATCGGTAAGTGAAATGTAGATTAGAAGAAGACTTGGAAAGTGTCAGAACGTCATCACTAATCCTTTCTGTGAAATATAATCAAGAAAAACATTCAACTTCGATTACGTGAATTGATGAAATAAAGTTGATAGCTGTTTTTTTTCGTTAAACGTTTAGTTTTACGTTTGAATTGTTGATAGGAAGGATCTTCATGTAATGGAGTCGTGGTTTCATTTTTGGAGAGTAAACTACGTCAGACAACCAGGAGTTGATTAGTTGAAGATTATTTGGTGAATTTTGTATTTGCGAACTTTCTACATAATATGTCTGGCACCACCATGCCTATGGGTCCATGACCGACGACACTATAAGAAAAAGGGAAAGTGAACAAACGTTAGCCTATCAGGGCCCTGTTTCATGAAACTTGTTATCAATAACAAGTTACAATAATTGTTATAAGCTACTGAAATCGTGGCATTGGATTGGTGGAGAGCAACATTTGTCATAGAAAGGTAGAATTTGTTAGTGATAACAAGTTTTGTGAAACGGGGCCCTGAATTCCATTCAAGTCTGTAACCTTCGGCACTAGAGCAGTGTTACACACATTCGAATGTTGTTGTTTTTGTGTGCAAAAATCTGTATTATTTGTATACATATATAAGTTGACTTTTATATCGGTCAGTAGAGTAGCTCTTGTGTGACGGTTGTTTAAAGAAACAGGAGACGTGGAAATCAAAGTATAGAAATGCTAGTATCTCTTTTACCCAATTTCGTTTTACTGTTTAATAAATGGCGATGTCGTTCACCAAAAAAGAGTCATCTCCCCGTCCATCGCCCTCCCCCGATGACATACAACATGATAGAGAAATTTATGGTACATCTAATTGATAAGAATTTTTTTTTTCGTAAAAGGTAGTTGTAATTAATTAAATTATGTTACCAGATTCACTTACACGGATTTAAAAACATAACTTAACAGTTAACAGTTGGTTATTTTTTCTAAAGGGTTATATTTTCATCAATTCATTTACCAGTTAATATCTACTCATTAAATGACGTAAGATGAAACATATCATGACGAAGATGATAATTCATTGTAATGTTTGACCTGAAATAACCATTTTTTCTCCTCGCTGGCAAATGGGCAACCATTTTTTTAAAAATATCATTAAATATCAATAGGAATTAAAGCGCATAGCGTTTTTCTTCTCTTTCATCTTTCATTTGGACAGGTACCTGCTTCTTTATATTACCTTGATTTATGATGAGCGTTGTTAACGTATGGTTGTCTCGTGTAATGTCATGTAATAACTTAATATTAGTAATCGACAACTAGTTGTTTGATTATTTCGTTCGTATGTATGAAATAGACATTGGTACAATTGACGTCATTTATATACTATTATAATGATCCATGTGATGTTTCATTTGAGATGAAAAGGCTTAAATAAAAATAAAATACCCACAACAAACCAAATGTAATAATGATGTATGGTGCGCACGAGGAGAGGTAAAGAAAGAAACAATAATTACATAATATATTAAAAATTTATATAAAGGAAATATCATGGAGGGCAGACGTTGAAAAGAATTACTTCTGACAAAAAATGTAATTATGTTTTAAAATGTATCGTTAGTCTTGTGATATAAGTATATTGTATGCGTTTTTAATTGTAATCATTATGATCATATGTTTTTTATGTAAGTATTACTCCATTAATAAATGATGAAGAAAAAAATTATTGAAAAACACACAAAAGTATAGAGGTATCGGACATTCTGTGTAAAGAAATTGCTGATGATAATGGAGACGATGATGATGATGATGATGATGATGATGATGATGATGATGATAAATGTACTTCTGTCGACATACAATTTCATAAGAAAAGAATTATGGAGAGAAAGGGAACAAGAGGCGAAAAGAAAGGAATAAAGAAAGAGAGAGACAGAAATATATATGAAAGAGAGAGAAATATATATGAAAGAGAGAGAGAGAGAGAGAGAGTGGATAAAACTAAATAAGTTACAATGCAACGGAAAGAATGTCATCCCTCGGACATGAAGTTGAATGGGGCCCTAAGTAGAGGACAGTCACCACCCTAATACATATAAAGTGCTCATTACATTATTCGCATTTATAGATGACGATGTATTGGTCCACCTGCACATCCCAAATCAGTTATACTTCAAGCAGAGACCCGAGTGTTACAGTGGTTCAGTTCGCGTATCCCTTCCCAATCACAGGTGACGCCCCCACCCCCTCCCCCACTCAGTATTATTTAGGGTACGCATATGCGTGTTCCTAGCACCCCCCCCCCACCTTTCAGCATAAGTCCGGTGCGTAAAGTCAAACGGGTAGATCCTTTTATTTTGTTATACGAGCCTTTTCAGCACCCCTCCCCCTTTCAGCATAAGTCCGTTGCGTAAAGTAAATACGGGCAGATCTTTTGTTTTGTTTCGAGCCAGACATTTTGGGAACACGCATGCGGTCCCTCCGTTTTTCCGGAGTGGGGGGGGGTGGGGTGACGTCAAACACTTAAAGGGACTTGGTAACGTTGTTCAGATGAGAGATAGTGGTGCTTAAAGATAGTGACTTCAATGCTAGATGCACAATTTAAGATAATCTGAAAATTTGAGTGAAAATGGACCATTATTCATGGTACAAATTGGGAAAAACTGATCTGATCGATTCTTTAATTCTCCCAACTATATAATTACAATTTAATTCCCTTTTAGGTGAATTAAAATCGCATCACAAAGCAATACAATGGCTCTACATTTCATTTTAGACATTTAGGTGTTGACATATTTTATAGCCTGTTTTAAGTCTTTTTTTCATGGAAAGGCGGATTGGAAAATCCAAAAATGGTTGGGAAAATTTACTGTTAAACACTGTTAGAGGGTGTCGTACATTGACGCCTTCAAGTTAAACCCTAAATATCTTCGTGGTTTGAAAGTTTTTTTCAGGATTTTTTTACATGTCAGAGGTTTAGTACAGATACAGTACAGATTTTTATACAAACATTAATCAATATTTTCATCAACCTTCAACAATGTTACGAGTCACTTTAACAGTAATAATTTCATTTCATGAAAATATAGCATCATACACAATGTTAAATTATAAGTATAAAGAACATATATATTGTTCATCTGAATGCATTGTAGTGAGTGTAAATATATGGGTATAACACGAAATACAGATATTGACTCTTGCTCATGACATTATGTAATCATTTATATGCACTGGCGGCAGCCGCGAATCCAGGATTTCTTAGGTGGGGGGGGGGGGCGAAATTTGAAATTATGCGAGCCAAATATTGGTACATAATGGTGACACCGGTAGTGGCAATTATTTTATTTTTTTTTATTTTATTTTTTATTTTTTTTGGGGGGGAGGGGGTAGACAAACAAAAAATCGCCATCACCCCACTATTACATGCAGGCCCCGCTGATCGTTTCTAGGCGGGGGTCAAGGGGTGGTTTCCCCAGAAGCTCAGGGGGTATAGGCATTTTATTACTGTCAGATGAGGATATTTTGATACCTTATTTGTGACACTGGCAGAGTGGCAGGACACAAATTGGTGTGGGGTCCAGGGGACGGAGCCCTCAGAAGCTCAGGGGTTTTGGGCAATACATTACGGTAAGATGAGCATAATTTTATACCTTACGTGTGACACTTGCAGGTCACGAATTGGCGGGGGATCCAGGGGGCGGATCGCCCTGAAGCTCAGGGGTTTTGGGCAATAAATTACGGTCAGATAAGCATATTTGATACCTTATTTGTGACTCTGGCAGGTCATGAATTGGCGTTGGGTCCAGGAGGCGAAGCCCCTGGAGGCTCAGGGGTGTTAGGCAATAGATTACTGTCAGATGAGCATCCATTGGCCCGCCTTAGGGCCATTGGTTGGGTTCGGGGGCAGAGCCCCGGAAGTTCAGGGCTTTAGGCATTTAATTACGTCAGATGAGCATAATTAAACCTTATTTGTGACACTGGCAGGTTACTAATTGGTGCGAGGTCCAGGGGGCAAAGCCCCCAGAAGCTCAGGGGTTCTAGGAATTTTATAACGGTCAGACAAGCATGCAGGGGCCCGCCTTAGGGCCCCTGGTGGGGTCGAGGGGGTGGAGCCCCGGAAACTTAGGGGTTCTACGGTCAGATAAGCATATGTCCGCCTTAGGGCCCTAGGTGGGGTCTATGGGACAGAGCCACGGGAATTTAAGGGGTTTTAGGCATTTAATTACGGTAAAATGAGCATATTTTGATACTTATTTGATTTTATTTTATTTTATTATTGGTTTCTAATAATAATAATAATAGCTAGTTCTTATATAGCGCTTTTCAGGACCGAAGGCCCTCTCAAAGCGCTTTACAGATATATACATCTTTTTTATTTTTTCTTCATACATTTTCATGAACATAATATGGTTTGATACAATATTTTAAGTGTATATAATTTTATACAGATAATAAACGAATTTAAACAAATATATGAATGCATAATTAACATACATTAGATGCAGGAGGGCTACATAAATAAGCAAAGTAGCTTGACGTGCCCGCAGCCCTCAACTTAGATACAACAACCCGTCTAAAAACATACGGGGATAGAGCCTTCTCTTCATCTGCTCCGCATCTTGGAACTCTCTACCTGTCCAACTTCGAAATTGTAACAACATTGATACCTTTAAATCTGAACTCAAAACCTATCTTTCCGGCATCATTGCGAATAATATGTGACATATTGAGGGAGCCAGGCGCCTTTGAATGCTTTTGCAGATAAATGGCGCTATACAAATGCTGTTCATCATCATCATCATCATCAAATAGAAAAGACTGACTTGCAGAGAAGAAAAGGAAAGGGGGAGAGAAGGAGCATTGGTAATAATACAATAAATCTCGTACATCTGCTGATTGAATGCAGGTTCATCCATGAATGGCTTAACGATGCTAGGTCATGGACGATTACACATCATTGTTGAATATACAGCCAATGTACACTTTGTCGGCATCTGTCTGTCTCGAAAGACAATAGAATATTGCGCTATAGTTGTACTAGTCAGTTTCTTGGTGTGCAGCTCCTGCTGTGACTGAACAGTCCAATCCTAGAGAGGCAGGTCCTGTTGCAGTTGCTGCAGATAAAAGTCATTTATGGCTGTGCTGTTGAAGCCGTAGCTAGCTGCTGTCTTGTTGTTGTTGTCTTTTCTCCTCCCACTGTTCTACTCTCCTCTGCTCACTCCTCTGTATACCCGTCTTTACAACGCGTCTCCATTCAGGACGGTCTGAAGCATAATTATGCTTCCCAGTTTTTAGGGTTGATTTCACTGGCCTTCATATCCCTCTTGCACACATCCTTGAAGCGAAGGACAGGTCTTCCAACAGCCCTGGTCCCGGTCGTTAACTTTCCGTACATTATGTCTTTTGGAATGCGGCCGTCTTCCATTCGACTTACATGACCAAGCCATCTCAGTCGTCGTTGTGATAGAAGAGCATAGATGGTCATCATGCCTCCTTTCTTGAGGACATCCTTGTTTGGAATGTGGTCCTGCCATTTGATGCCTAGGACTCGCCTCAAGCAGCGGAGATGGAAAACGTTCAAACGGCGCTCCTGACGTGCATACAGGGTCCACGACTCCTTGCCATACAGAAGAGTGCTGAGCACACAGGCCTGGTAGATCTTCATTTTTGTGTTGGTAGTTAGTAAAGTGTTCTTCCAGGTACGCTTTGAAATTCTAGCCATCATGGTTGCTGCCTTGCCAATATGTACGTTGAGCTCGGGATCGAGGAAGAGGCTGCTGGATATCATGGAGACGAGGTAGGTGAAGTTTTCAACCACTTGGAGGGTGTAGTTTCCAATGGAGATATCGGGAACGCTGCGTACATCCTGGCCATGATGTTTGTTTTCTTTAGACTGATGGTCAGGCCAAAGTCTTCACATGCTTCTGAAAAACAGTTAATCAGCCTCTGTAGAGCTTCCTCAGACTGGGATGCCAAAGCAGCATCATCTGCAAATAGCATCTCTCTAATCAGGATGCTCCTCACTTTCGTCTTCGAACGAAGTCGTGCAAGATTAAACAGTTTTCCATCGCTTCGTGTGTGTATGTACACGCCGTCTTGAGATGACCTGAAAAGTGTGATAGCAGCACAGAGAAGAAGATCCCAAAGAGCGTGGGAGCAAGCACACATCCCTGCTTCACTCCGTTCTTGATTGGGAAAGGGACCGATGTATATCGTCATGGAAGGATACAATCAACCTTAGCAGTGTAGGTGGACATCCTATCTTCTGTAGCAGATTGAAGAGGACCTTTCTGCTGACTAGGTCAAAGGCCTTTGTAAAATCGATGAAGGCAATGTACAGTGGCTGTCTCTGCTCCCGGCTTTTCTCCTGCAGTTGTCGAATGGACAATATCATATCGGGTGTTGATCTTCCAGCCCGAAAACCACACTGCGATTCTGGGTACACACGGGCTGCAAGCGTTTGCAGTCTGCTCAGGGTCTCACGGGCAAACGTCTTCCCAACAGTGCTTACGAGGGATATTCCACGATAGTTGTTGCACTCACAGCGATCACCTTTGTTCTTGTACAAGGTAATGATGTTAGCATCACGCATATCATGTGGAATCGTTCCCTCTTGTACACACGAACATGAATATAGTACAATTACACACGACAGGATCAATACTTAGACAATAATATAGTTTTAACTCCCTTCTTAAATTAATACAATGTCCTAAGGTTTTTTATTACAATGGGCAAAGAGTTCCAGATGTCTGGGCCGGCGTGTCTTATGGATTTGAGAGCCAATGCGGTTTTTGGATTTCTTAAATGGAATTTTTCAGTTTGCCTTGTAAGGTAAGAGTGGATGGTTTTTATTAAAATTAAACAATGGGGGGAAATAAGAAGGTAGTAAACCATTTTGTAAGTGAAACATGAAAAGTGCTATTTGTAGAGATATATATCATTAGCTTTTAGAATTTTTAGTTTCGAAAACAAGGGATTGGTGTGGTCGCGATAGGAAGAATCAGTACATATACGCATTGCTTTCTTTTGTAACAGTAAAATGGTGTCAACGTTACTTTGTGGCACTGGTAGGTCACTAATTGGTGTGGGGTCCAGGAGGCGGAGCCCCAGGAGCTCAGGGGTTTAGGCATTAAATTACCGTCAGATGAGCATCCAGGTGCCTGACTTTGGGCCCTAGGTGAAATCCAGGGGGAGAGCCCCCGGACGCTCAAGGGTTTAAAGGCATTTAATCAAGGCCAGATGAGCAAAAAAAAATTGCCCCAGATATTAGAAAATTACGTCTTCAGATATTTCGTTCAGTGGCTTTTTTCAATAGGAGGGGGGAGGAATACTTTTTGTTGTTGCTTTCTTTAGCACCAAAAAAAAATAATACAAATACCAATATTTCCCCTTTTTTCCTTCTTTGTTTCGAGGGGGCGGCCCCCTTCCCCCTGAATCCGCCACTGATTTGTATTACATGTTTGTGCTCTAATTGGTTGTGCTTGCTCACTTCGCTCGCTCATAGATATACTGACGAGTGTCAGAGTGATGTAAAACTTATCTTCTATGATAAATTTGGGATTGGGGTGACATTTTCATTTCTTAAAAGGTTGCCAAGATTCGAGAAAAAAAAATTGTAAAACGCCGCTCCAATTAATGAAAGACTTTGTAAGTGATTTGTTTTCAGTTCGGATATAGTTTAAACGGATCCAACACTTCCTTCATCGTCTATCTGTATGATGGACTTTGTCCTTTATGCGAGTCAAGGAGTTACTAGCGCTATAAACGACAGTAGACCATACCATAGGGCATATGCATAGAACATATTATTTGCTTTAAATCGGTTTGGTGTCTCGAAAATGGATAGCCATGCGATTCGTCTCGCCATCGCCTCCGACGTAGCAGGTCTCTATGATTTACTCAAGGAGTATGTCATCGAACAAGAACTTGAGGGGGAGTTCAAGAATTCACGAACTAGTAAGTTTAAGCCTTATCTGCAACATAGTGTTGATAATATACGATCGAAACATTGTATTCTGATAGCCATTGATAATAATCGCAAGCAGTCCTCTTCTCACCCGAGCATCCAGTGTTACAGTGTAAATTGCCATAATTATGGGGCATCTTTATTCCCATAATTTACAGAATGCTCACATTGCCATTAGTTACGGGTCATCTCAGAAAACAGACAGCCCATGTAATACATAGGCGAAGATAGAAAAGGTAGGTTTTGTAGTTGTCGATCAAGTGAACCCTCAAAAAGTTGTGAGTATTATTAAGCTCTATGAGACCTACATTTATTTATGTATATGTATTTTGGGGGACCATTCACCTGCATACGAGGCATTCAGAGGTTGGCAAATTCCAGGCGTTTAGGTAGTGGAATCACAAATGATTTACCTGTAGCCCTTATAAAGGGCCGCTATGGCCTAGCTCGTGTGGCATATTCACCTGTCGAAGTGCTCATTGTGATTACACTCTTTTAATTACCATTGTTATGCAGAAGATATCCAAGTGTATAATAATTATAATAATAATAATAATAATTTTTATATAGCGCTTTATACAAATGTCTCTTAGCGCTTTACAAATATACTATTACCCCGGTCATTGGATTCAGTGCTTGCCCGCACACAATGTGTGCACAATCTCCACTCCCCTATACATCATTCCCCTTTACAAATGATCAATCAATCTCCATGGCATTAATGGGAGGAGATGCGAATGAATATTGGGCTTCTCTCCAAGCAAAACTATCCACCCTAATCATAGTTACAATTGCATGCGAACTATGCTGATATATTATATTTTTATCAATATTTTTTCTTCCATAGGTTTTGAGAAACACTTCAACCAAGTACTATTCAAAGCGCTTGTCATCGAGGTTGACGATGAAACAGAGAACCAGAAGCAGATCATTGGATGTATTTCTTTTTCCATCTGTTATGATTATGTCGTAGGTGCAAAGACTTTCCCTCACTGCTGCTATATCAAGCCAGCTTTTAGAAGTACGACATTTTCTCTTTGATCATAACTAAGAAGGACCAATTGGACTATTTAATTATGTTGTAAATCCTTTATGTACCTGTTGTACGAGACTATGATTGGATTTCCTTCTTGTACCTGCATGTATATTGAAAAAAATCGATAACAAAAACTTGTTTGTCAGCTGTCGATTTTTTACTTGATGGTCATGTTCGCAATTTTTAATATTTATGTATTTTTTGTATGTTATAAGGAACTATTATAATATACATGAACTCATAAATGCATAAATAATACAGGAATAACAGGACCAATATAATCAGGCCATAAATTATGTATTAAAACTTAAAAATGTATTATTTTTTGATATCTGTGACACTGTTTACAAACCTGTAGTTGATGATTTTCAGAGGGAGAACAAAAATCTCGTTTACCGGGTATAATAAACCAAATACAATGAATAGGAATACCGTTGCAATTCACCAACTGCGTCTTGTAGTTTACTAGGTAGAAAGCGTTCATATTATGTTTATTATAATGGCGTAATTATTCTTATCAAAGTTGTTATTAGCCTATACTGAGCAGTTTTATTATTGGACCTACCTTGATCACTATCATCATTATCATCATCATTACCGTCATCATCATCATCATCATCATTACCATCATCATCTTCAACATCATCATTTATATCATTATCATCATCATTATCATGATTATCTTTCTCTGTCTCCTCCTTCCCCTCCTTCACCCCCTTATCACAATAATCACAACCCCAGTCACCATCACCAAGTTTAGCATCGTCATTTTCAGAATCGCGGTCGTTTACTCCCTGAAAAATGCCTGGAATTATGGCCGTCATTATGGGGGTGTCCGGGTGGGGGGGGGGTAGAGCTGCGAGAAAAATAAAGGGCAAGGTTACTAAGGGAAGGGGCTGGAGGGAATCGCCATTTTCTGATCACAATCCGTCCCTGTAATGATCCCGCCCCTGCAATCTGATGTAATGAACAATGCATATACTTTCCTACTCCATTGTTGCTCACTTTGTATTTATTTGTTTTTATATTTTTATTTCGATTTGACAGACCGTGGACTTGAGCAGAAATTGATCCGGCTTACCAAAAAGGTTAGATTTATCTTTCAATCTAGAACCAGTATTAACGCCATCACTCGAGAGAATGTGGGATCTGACCCCGCCCCGTCAATATGTCTTTCATAAAAAAAGTCAAAAGTGGTCGCTAAATTATTACATTTTCACATTTTATTTCTTCTAATCGATTTAATTCAATGGAATAATGAATGATGTATTACATTGCCATGTACGATGCACAAACGAGAATGATTATATATACGTCAGACATATACTTTTAAATGATAACTGTGCAGTTCTGTTTAGTATCAATTTCCAATGATTATGAATAACAAAATATATTCATGAAGATGATGAATATCATTGAAGATGGTTTGAAATGTATACGATTCGTAACTGAGGTATAATAGTTTGAAATTAATTGGTATGTCTTTAAAAACTGTCTATACAGAATCTTTTCTTGAGGTTGGGAGGTATTTAAATATTAATATCTTCTTCATAGATGTATACTTACACGATCGCAAAGACTTCGAGAAATCAACTGAAGGGCAGTTCAATTCCCTATGGTATCCCATAGAATCAATCAATTCCCTATGGTATCCCATAGAATCAATCAATTCCCTATGGTATCCCATAGAATCAATCAATTCCCTATGGTATCCCATAGATTCAATCAATTCCCTATGGTATCCCATAGAATCAATCAATTCCCTATGGTATCCCATAGAATCAATCAATTGGTATGTATCCCATAGAATCGATCAATTCCCTATGGTATCCCATAGAAATTATGTTCGGATTACGTAACACTTCGTTATAATGTTCGCACTTTTCAGTAGGTGACGGACAATGCTACTGACATGGATTGATTTTTCGCAAATCATCAAGATCGTGTTCATCTAACTTTTTCAGCGATAGAAACATATGCAATTTTTTATTTCTAATTGAAACAATAGCAAAATGACCGTACAATGCTTAATTTCATGAATTCGTTCCAGAAGTTATCTTGAAAACGGGGAGCTAACAAACAACAGAAAAGCTAGCGTTTGAATTCCAACTCCCTTCTGAGACCCCAGTTTTTTCTTTTCGATATTACTGGCCCAAACGAGTTAAATCTTTGTCTCAGCAGATGACACTGACATTATTTGCTTTAATTTCTAACTAAATTTCAAGGTACAGGCTTAGCCAATTGCTAATAAAAAAAAAACACAGACACATAAATATCGAAAAGATCTTAGTTTAATTTCATTTAGATTTGGTGTACATATATCTCAGTCTCATCGATATAATGTCCTCCTGGTTACTAGAAGATACATTATCGATGTTTGTTTTCCTTTCGTAGATGTCTCGAGATGCAGATACTAACAACATGTTGACTGTTTTAACACACTGACACTGACGCCTCATATAGAAAAGCCTTAGAAAATGAAGGTATGATCAATCTAACCAGTAGTTTTGAGATGGATGTCTGGATCATGCCAAATCCACCTTCAACATCTACTCAAAAGGTAAACTATGGTGACAAGATACCCTCATCAATCAAATATTGTGTTGTAATAAATTAAGCTTAATTTATTACCACTCTCTAAAGGTAATACAAAGTTTTGGTTTGGGGTCATGAATTTGATTCAAATGAACATATTGGAAGCGTATGCGATCCTATAATATTCAGTGATCGTTGTCGCGGTTGAAATTGAGTCTAAAGTTATGAATTGTAAATAATAAACTCTTTATGTTGTATAGCTCCCTCTCAAGGTCAAGATAGTAATTAAGCTATAAAAACAATGTTTCTGACTAAAATCGACAAATAGCTATTCCGTTTGAAAAAATATATATACAACTACATATTCTGAGATTTTCATGGTCGCAGCTACCATTGTACGGCCGTAGGCGCTATTTGAAAACTTATCAAAATTTACGGAAGCACCGGTAAATTTATATATTCAATTTTTCTCAAAAGCAGAGTTGTTTTAGGGGCTGAATTTTCTAGTGTTTATAATGCATCTACGGGGGAATCCAAATATATCAAAATTGTAAAGAATTACTATCCACCAAATTTTCTAAATTCCCAAAAACTTTGTATTACATTTAAAATCACATGTACATTTATTTGGTGGACAGGGACTGTATGTGAAGTTTAATTGATTTCAATTAAGTTCAGTCAAAGCTTGTCAAATCCCTCTGAATACCTTTTACTTAAAATTGAATCGACAATAATTCATTACCCACCAGTTCAGTTGGCATTGTGATCTTTTACTGCATTGTAATATTGTTGCAATGTTTCTATTTATAACTCTTTATAGTTGTTAATGAATGAAAATCGTTTTATACAATGCCATTTCTTTAAGAATATAGAAAATATTTCCCCTAACCATCCATCTCTTCTCTTTCTTCTCTCTCTCTCTCTTTCTCTCTCCCTCTCTCCCTCTCTCCCTCTCTCTCTCCTTCTCTCTCTCTCTCTCTCTCTCTCACTCACTCTCACTCTTACATCTCTCTCACTCTCACTCTCACATTTCTCTCCCCGTCCTTTCATCTCATTATGTATTTACAGCATGACGATTATATAATCCGTGACGGCACAGAACAAGATCTTAGCAATATTACCATCTCCTCGAGATGAAGAATCTTACTGCTCGTTTCAAAGTCAGCAAAGAAGGTAGGCAAATGACGCAATTTAAGCAAGGAACAACAAAAAACGAAGTAGAAGGCAAATAAAACGTTTTTATTTCTAGGAAAAAAGTGTGAATGGAAATAACATATGTATTTATGAAGATGATTAATAATGACTAATGACAATAGTCATGAGGATGGACATGATGATGGTAATGATGTTGAGAAAGAGGCTAAGAGGGGGAGGGGTACTTTTGTGTAGGTTTGAGATTTTGTGTGTGACTGTTATATAAGGCCCATTGCACTACTTGTAGCTACTTGCGCCCTCTATACAACAAACCATGCCTAATCGGTGACCATTGGTCCCCATGATCCTCTTTTTCTTATGTTAACTGAGAGCTGAGTTGATGAGATAACCACCTGTCCAGTGACCTTTCAGGGCGATTTAAAGGCCCACTGCACTACTTGAAGCTACTTGCGCCCTCTATGTAACAAACAATGCCTAATCGGTGACCATTGGTCCCCCACGATCCTCTTTTTCTTATGTTAACTGAGAGCTGAGTTGATGAGATAACCACCTGTCCAGTGACCTTGCAGGGCAGTCTAATCCCTCCTGTAAACTATGGCAGATAAGCTTTAATCCCTCCTGTAAACTACGGCAGATAAGCTTTAAGGGAGAGGATGGATATGCTTTCTACACTAAATGGTGCCGTCGATATCTGTGAAACTCCTCAATGCGTAATATTACGTCATTCAATACAAACAATAACAGGATTTCACTTTGGCATCAAATTGCATTAATAAGGGTGGAGGATAAGTGAAAGATTGAAAAAAAACAGGAGTAAATTGACAACGTACGAGCAGGAACAGTTATAGCACTCAAATCAGGTGGTATAATCTTACATGTCTCTCTAAACATGGTTAAGTCATCTTTCATTGCCATATACCTATTATATGTTTTATATTTTGTGCCCGAAATTCATAATAAATTCATTCTGTCATTCTGAACAAGATAGAAAGAATGAAAAATTCAATTACTGTATCTTTCCTTTTACTTTCTCAGAATTTGAACGCGACGGTTTAGTCGACAAAGCACTGTACGGGTCCGTCATCGTGGAACATCGTCATCGTGTCGAAGACCAGGATGAAGAGAGCGAAGTCGTTCACGACATCGTGGGTTGTATGCTCTATTCTAAGATGTACTATGCTTTGATAGGTCAGACATATCTCTTGCAAGGCCTTTTTCTCAAGCCGGCGCAGAAGGGTAATGGGTCTAACAGTAATACTCCTAGCTCTAAGTTAACACTAACTTCATTACAACTACTACATATTTCAAATTCAAATTCATTGAAACAGAATCCAAAATGTTGGATTATCTTCAATATAGTAATCGATGATGATAATAATAATAATAATAATTCTTGTATTTATTATCATTTTAAGATTCGCTATGGAATAATCATATTAAATATTTAGATTCATATTTTGTAAAATGGAATATGATATTATATCTATAACCACCCTATATACCGTAGCTTACTCATTTATCACCTCATTCATTATGTATGTTAATCATTATGTGTATGTTTATCACTGTCCTGTAATTACTCTGTAACCAGTGGAAACCAAATTTCCTGAAAAGGACAATAAATTATTATACTTTATACTTTTTTTTAAAGCAAAAGTATCAACATACTACATGCAAGTATCATTAGAAAATACAATCCGTGGCGTAGCAAATGTCTCGTCATTAAGGGGGCAACTTATAGATGCTTATGCGGTGGATAAAATACGAGAGATTGGAGAGTGACGAAGGTGTCGGATAATCCTCTATTCGAGTTATATCAGTCCTTTATTTGAAAAGAATGTAGGGATGTGCCCCTCTATGATCTTTGCCATATTTTGTCCACCTGTCTCTCACAAACACTTAATCAAAAGGTGACCTAAGATAATAGCCTACAATCAGTTAAAGATAAACTTGAGTTCTGGTAAAAAAAAGAAAATGAATTCTCACAGAATCTAACGAAACTTACACTGAATGTTCAAGATTACAAATAAATGTCATGTGCCAAACAATTTTGGAAGAAAATGTATACTGGCTGAGTAATGAGCATAGAAAGATAAGGAATTCAGGGTAGTACTAGCCCCGACACCATGTGTGTTGTCCCATATACATCTTTCTGTGTAAGTGATTGTTACTTTACCAAGACTCTGCCAAATTTATGATGATTTTGATGACTCTAGAACATTGCATTACACATCATTACTTACATGCTATATGATCAACTTTTCTGATCCATTCCACACCTTTTCTTTCACAATGCAATCGCATTACCAGTACTCAAGTTTATCTTTAACATAGGATCTGTTCTACTACATTGGAGGGTTAGATAGCAGGAGATGTGAAGACTACTTTAATATACAAAAATCTAGAAATGGTCGAAAATATAGTCCATCCCAACTAACACACTAATTTTTACACGTTTGGGAGAAAGAAAGCAAAGAAAGTGCATATTTTTAATTAATTATGGACATACAACTCCGTTATTTAATCGGTCAATCCTGATTGTCATCGATTCATAGCCCGTATACCCCTCTATGACTGACCTTAAATTCCCACTGCACTACTTATAGCTACTTGCGTCCTCTATATGGCACACAATGCCAAAGCGGTGACCCTTGGTCCCCCATGGTCCCCTTTTCTCATGTTGATTGAAAGCTGATTTGATGAGATAACCACCTGTCGGTGACCTTGCAGGGAGGTCTAACCCCTACTCGCCAAACTATAGACGGTAGGCTTTACATTTTAAGTGTAAAAGAGACAAAATGATGTTCTGCCAGGAACTCGTGGTATAGTGCAATGTGAACTTGGCAATTACCGTTTCCACGTCATGATTTCTCTTTTGTATTCATTTTTGTTATTGCAGGCAGAGGTTTAGGCAAGGCTTTAGTCCGTGCAACACTACAAGTAAGCTAGGTAGTTTCACATCATATCTTCAAAGTAATGACAAGTGATTCATTTTGCCATACTTTTAGTACAAAGTACAACAATAACGTTACAGAGGGTGGCGGGTGCATATAGAATCATTTTGGAGTCCATTTTTTGTCGAAAATCGAACCAAATAAACTTTGTAATTATACCAGTGATGTCCATTTTCTATCCGTGATTATATTTTCCCTATAGAACTTATAGAACTCAAACTTGTTATCAAGTTAATTTTTGACTAATGTTGAAAATCAAAGAAAGTAAGTTATTTTTTGGGAAAAATCCAACACAGAATAACGAAAGTTATTGATCTTTAATACTTTGATAGTAAATGCTTATAGATATTCCATAAATATGAATATAAAAGTCGATAAAAGAAAAGCTGGAATTAATCGACCTCAATTTTCTTTTATTTTTATTTTCCCTAACAGGCTTGCAAGAAACGCAGCGGTGACGGCTTATAATCATGATACACAAGGAGAATAAGACCTCCCAATCACTCTTCCGATCATTACACGGTATCAACTTGACACAAACAACACATATTGATTGGATTAAAGTAATACTATAAGAAATACAGATTGTAAATTGACTCAGAAAATGTCTGAAATAAACTATTTACTGTACGTCTTGTTCATAAATCAGCCCGGAGATATTATGAGAAGGGAGGTGACAATGGCCTGGAAATCCTTCGACGTTACTCCATGTTGACCGATTTCAGGACACGATGGCAATTTTTTCGACGAATAAACTAAATATATCCCATTAAAAAAATCATAGTCACACCATTATAATGACTTACTTGACTTATGCCGTCCACGCAGGCCAGGGGCCTCGTGATGGCTTCTGTATGGTGATGGTATGCCAAGTTTTTCTGACTGCAGGCAATCTTGATGCATCTGTCAGCCTTAGTATGGATCTTGCTTTGCAGTCCTTTGAGGTGCAGTCAAGTCATCTTTGGGTGGACGGCCTCTGGGTCGATTTCCTGTGACCTTTCCTTCCACGGCAATTTTGGGGTATCTTGTGGGTTTCATTTTAGGACGTGGCCAAAATATTTGAGCCTTTTAGTGGAGACTTTGTCCATAACATCTTGATCGAGGTTGAGGGATTCTTTGATGTGTGTGTTACGGATCTTATCTAGTCTTGTCACCCCCATTATGCGACGAAGGCATGCCATTTCAAACACTTGAAGCCTGTTGCTATCTTCTTTTTTAACTCTCCAGGATTCTGCCCCATAAAGCAGTATAGAGAGGATGAGTAATTGATACAGTTGCATCTTCGTGTGGCTACTAATGCTTTTGATGTCCATATGTTATTTAGCCTTTGGAAAGCTGCCCCTGCTTTCCTGATACGATTTTTAATGTCACTCGTACTTGAGCCGTTTTCTGCTATTTTCCCTCCCAGGTACACACAATCTTCCACCTGTTTTAGTCTGTCGTTGGCTATGTCAATGTTGAGGTTGCACTTGCTTTTGCTAATAGCTTGCACTTCTGTCTTTGCTAAGTTCACCTTGAGACCAAGGTCACAGCTTGCCGTGTAGATCAACCAGTGCCTGCAGTTCCTCTGGAGTCTCGGCTATCAAGACGATGTCATCTGCAAAACGTAAGTTGTTTATGAAGGTTCCTTGAATTTTGGCTCCTATTTGGACTTCATCCATTGCAGTGGTCATAACTAGCTCGAGGAGTATGTTAAAAAGTTGTGAGGAGATGGCACACCCCTGCCTGACTTCTACGGTTGTCTTGAATCACTCTGCCAGCTCTCCATTTACTCTGGGATTGTTCATACAGTGCTTGTAAAAGTCGTATTAGCTTGCTTGGATATCCAAAATATCCCATCGCCTTCCACAGGCCCTTCTGCCTTACCGAATCAAAAGCCTTCTGAAAGTCGATATAGCAGCGGTACAGGCTTCTGTTCTTTTCCAGGTATTTTTCAGCTATTTGTCTTAGCGTGAATATTTGGTCTGTCGTAGCCCTGTCTGGTCTGAATCCTGCATGGGATTCAGAGAGGATTTCTTCTTTTCTTTTGAGAATTCTTCTTTGTAGGATTGTTGTCAGTACTTTTCCTGCATGGGACAGTAGACTGATACCTCTGTAGTTCCTGCAATCTAGCTTATCTTTCTTCTTATAGATCGGGGTTATTATTGCTCTTCCCCATTCCTCCGGGAATTTCTCAGACTCCCATATTTGGTTGCAGAGATAGTGAAAGATGTCTGTTCCCGTTTCTCCAGCTGCTTTGATTTCGTCGGAAGTGACTGCATCAAATCCTGGTGCCTTATCCTCACTAAGTTTTTTTTTTATTGCACTTGTAATTTCCACCTTCAGTATGTTTGGCTCTGAGTCATCTGGAGAGCTGTTGGGTAGACTGTTTGCTACTGTGTCGTTTGGGGGTTGTGTTCATTGTATAATTCGTCGTAGTTTTCTTTCCATCTCTTCTTTACTTCTGATTGATCTGTTAGAGTTCTCCCTGTCTTGCTCTTAACTGATTGCATTCTCTTTGATGCTGATTTGTTGATTTTCTTAATTGTTGCGTAGACCTCCTTTGATTTAGCAGCTTGGTGTGCACTCTACTGCGAGGTCTTGGAGCCACGCATCTTTACAGCCCCTAGTCTTCCTCTTTATCTCTCTATTCAGAAAGTTGTACCTTGGTTTTAGTGAAGGATTGTTTTGTTTGGCTTGTTTGATTTTGCTGCGTTCTTCGCTGAGATCTAGCACTTCTTGTGAGATCCAGGCTTCCTGCGGTCTATTCTTTTTCATTCCCAGAACATCCTTTGCTGTGCTGTTAAATGCTTGCTTGATCTTTTCCCAGATGCTATCTATGTCTAAGTGGGTATCATTATAATATTCGCACACTTTTCAAAGGATGATGGACAAGGCTACTGATATTGCCTTAAGATGGTTTTGTTGTTGTTATACCTTTAAATAATTTTGATCTCAATGAAACCAAAGAGTTGGTACACCCACTGTGACCACGCCCCACAAACTGTTGTTCAACACCCTTTTGTCATACTCTTACAGAAAAGCTTCATTGATTTTAAAAACTAACGTTATTGTCATTATTGCAAAAGTGACACTTTGATTGGACAAGGTTATCAAAATTCAATGTTTGGAAACATTCGAAGGAATGATTATTATCAATTACAAAACGCTTAAATACAGCCCTGGCATAGCACCTGAAAAGCTCTCCGAACACTGCCAAAATGTGTGGCGTCACATGTTGAACATGATTTGCACAAGCAGACGATGTCCCATGACATCTCACACATTTCCAGTGCCTGTTTTGTCATCTTCTCTTCAGTTATTTCTCTTACTTCACTAGCGTCAGGCTAAATGTTTTTATTAGGGACTCAGGCCGGAGTTGGCGGCTATACACAGCCATCGGCTTCGATTGTGAGAGCTTGCTCTAACCTTTTCATAACAAAATGAATATAACCTAGACATGTATGATTTTCGTTTGTTATACAGCTTATAAACGTACAGGCCCGAATTCACAAATGAGGTTTGTCGATAAACCTCCTTTGTGAATTCGGTGTTTATCATGTATATGAACATAATATGGATATTAGTGATATGCTTAATGAAATACAAGTCATGTACGAAGTTACATGCACTGATAACCTACATGTGTGTATATATATATATATATATATATATATATTTAGAGAGATAACATATCAACAGGTTTTTAGTATTACATGTAAATGATTTTCAGGCGCGGATCCAGGATTTTTTAGTGGCAAAAACGTTTTTTTTTTTTTTTTTTTTTTTTTTTTTTATTTATTTATTTATTTATTTATTATTATGTTTTTATTTTTATTTTTTTATTTATTCATTTATTTTTATTATTATAATTATTATTTATTATTATTATTATTTATTTTTTTTTGGGGGGGGGGGGGTCAAGGGTGGAGCCATTAGAAGCTCAGGGGGTATAGGCATTTAATTACTGTCAGATGAGCATATTTTGATACCTTATTTGTGACACTGGCAGGACACAAATTGGTATGGGGTCCAAGAGGCGGAGCCCCCAGAAGCTCAGGGGTTTTGGGCAATAAATGACGGTCAGATTAGCATATTTTGATACCTTATTTGTGACACTGGCAGGACACAAACTGGTGTTTGGTCCAGGTGGCGGAGCCCTCAGAAGTTCAGGGGTTTTATACATCAAATTATCGTCAGATGAGCCAAATTTTATACCTTATTTTTGACATTGGCAGGTCACGAATTGGCGTGGGGTCGAGGGGGTGGAGCCCCCGAAACTTAGGGGTTCTACGGTCAGATAAACATACATTGATATCTTATTTGTGACACTGGCAGGACACTAATTGGCGTGAGGCCGAGGGGCCGAAGACCCCAGGAGCTCAGGGGTTTTAGGCAATAAATTACCGTCAGATGAGCATCCAGGGGGGTATTTCACAAAGATCCTAAGTAGAACTTAACTCTAAGTTGGACTTAAAAATTATGGACAGCCATTGGAGTCTTTAAATAAAAATATATACAAAAGCAGAAATTCAAGTATTTTAGACTTTTTATTAATTCCACATCCAGAACATGAAATCTCCTTGATGAAAATATGAATGATTTCAATAAACAATAAATGCGTTTCAAAATAACTTTTACAAAATATTTTCAAAGATGCTAATGGCTTTCCATATTTTTTAAGTCCAACTTAGAGATAAGTTCAACTTAGGATCTTTGTGAAACACCCCCTGGTCCCTGACTTTAGGCCCTAGGTGAAATCCAGGGGGCAGCGCCCCCGGAAGCTCCAGGGTTTTCAGGCACATGATCATGGTCAGATGAGCAAAAAAAAAAATTGAGCATTTGGCGGCGGAGCAAATGTCGTCGGAGCAATTGTCGGTGGAGCAATTGTCGGCGGAGCATCTGTCGGCGGAGCAATTGTCGGCGGAGCAAATGTCGGCGGAGTAAATTTCGGCGGAGCAAGTGTCGGCGGAGCATTTGACGTCGGAGCAAATGTCGCGGAGCATGTGTCATGGAACCTCATCATTTCATGAAAACTCAAATATAAAATAAAACGTGGACACTGTGCACATTTTCTAATAAATATTTAATATAGATTTATCTTTGATCTATCAATATAAACATAAATTCATCCTCTTTACAATGATATGCAATGTACCATTTTACTAAATTATTGAAATTGTATTCATACTTTTTAAGCAAAGGTTGATCACCTGAAAGCTTGTCCGAGCTTCACGGATATATCAACAAGTTATGAATGCAGACTCGATTCATATTGTAGTTCATTTACTAATAACAGGTTGATGGACTAACTCGTTAATAGATCCCCAGGAAAGAATCATGCATATATTGAATATGTACTGGGTCTATACCGTTCGCTCATGAGTAAGCACAGCCATTTAATAACTGTTTCTCCTAAATTTGATACCATTTTGATGGATTTTATATCACTAATATCGTGATAAGAGGAATATTGCAAGTTTAACGCCTAGTAAAACCACCAGTATTGCAACAAAATATAATTTGACACCTAATTATGTACTGATGGGGGTATTTTTGACCCCGACTGAGTATAATATATCCGCCCCAGCGCCCGCGGCCGTAACACTAAGGTTTGCGGTCAATCACAAAATGGTAATTGCCAAACAAGATCACTATCATGTGCACTATTGTTAATAAAGCAATAATCATACAAATGGCTTTAATAATAAATATAATAATTATGATCGCCAACCTTTTTCTTTAAGGGGCCCAGCCAGGGTTCATAATTAACGGAAAACTTGATTTGTACTCCTACTTGCCCCCCACCCATCCCACTTTAAGCCCAACACTCTCCGCCTCTAAGGTGCGAATTAATTCGGTGATGCTGATGTATTCATTGCGACGTGACGATCCTTGTAAAGTCTGTAGACATAATCGAGAGAGAGAGAAAGATGTAAAAAGATAGATATACAAAGAGATATAGATGTATTAATTCAGAGAGAAAGAGAAAAAAGAGAAAAAAAAGGGAGAGCTATAAAGAGAAAGAGAGAGAGAGATAGAGAGTGAGGAAGATAGAAAGGGGGTGAAAGAAGAGAAAGAGAGAGAGAAAGAGAGTGAGGAAGATAGAAAGGGGGTGAAAGAAGAGAAAGAGGGAGAGAAAGAGAGTGAGGAAGATAGAAAGGGGGTGAAAGAAGAGAGAGAGAAAGAGAGTGAGGAAGATAGAAAATTGTTGAAAGAAGAGAAAGAGAGAGAGAGAGAGTGAGGAAGATAGAAAGGGGGTGAAAGAAGAGAAAGAGAAAGGGGTGAGGGAAAGGGAGTGAGATAGAGAGAGTGACAGACAGAGAGAGGAGAGAAATAGAGACAGAGAGTGAGGGAGAGAGAGAGAGAGAGAGAGAGAGAAAGTGAGTGAGTAAAAGAAAGGAGAGGGAAAGGGGTTGAGGTGGAGTGAAGAGAAAGGGAGTGTATATAAGAAAAAATGAACTTGATTTACCAATGAAATACACACTAGCAGTGTCCTGGTATTCAAATTATGCTAGGAAATCCGTTTATCTTCTAGACTTCACTAGCAGACACTATTAGTGACGGACAAACATATGTTTTCATTGGTAATAACATATATAAAATGAGTTTAGTGTGTAGACCATTCGGTAAAAGGGTCTGAATCAGACTATTACCTAAGTGATTGCAATCACTTAAGTCGATTCGTCAACTAACGGTCGTTATTTTCCCACTAAAACTCATTTTCAAGCCCTTTCGTTTTGAGAGAAGTTCTAAATTAGTATTGTCTTTCAAATGCCGTTGGAATTTAATTTCATTTTGGGGGCCTGCAACTTGGACATAATATCTTAAAGAGAAGGTTGAGTTCTGGGAAAAGGTGAAAATAATGTGTGAGCGTTATCATTCTTATTATGCAAGTGTGGAAGAACATCAGATAAAAGCATGGCTCTTCAAATGCCTTCATATTCTAAATATGTCATGTAGCATCCAGGGTAGGATTTTTACGCCACGTGTTTGTGTATTCCCATATACATCTTTATGTGTACCGTGTTTGTAACTTTACCAAGACTTGGCCAAATTTCTTATCATTTTGATGATTCCAGAACCTTGCAATACACACACATTCTTATATGCTAGATGATCAACCTTTTCTGGTCGATTCCACACCCGTTTCTTTCACAATGCAATCGCATGACCAGAACTCAACTTCATCTTTAAACTGCACTGCAAATCTTATAAGCCCACACCATGTACATACAGTACATTGCGCACTATCCTCTACGCGCACATATCACCTAAATACAAATCGTTTTTAATTGGTAGTACTGTTGCGCAATTCTTCATTAAAGGAAACCACACGTGACCGCGTTTGACCAATCATTTGATTAGGATGTAGAGTGGGTTGTAAAAGTAGACAATATCATGAGCAATGTTACCAGTGTATGTGATGTGGCCGGACAGATCCCCATCAACCTCTTCAATCATCTCGTCGATGTCGCGATCGGTTGTTTTGATACCGAGCTCGATCAGGACTTCACGTAGATCAGACACGCTATTGAAAAGACGAATGAAAGAATGATTAAGATGATGACAGCACGAGTGATGATGATAATAATGATAATGAGCATCAGAATAAAACAAATAATAATAATAAATAATGATGATGACGATAAAAATAGAGATCATGATGAAGTAAGTTTCCTTGAACAACTCCTCATAATTTCTGAACCGCACAATTTTGAACCAATTTAACTATTATGTGTAGTAAGGACGGTGCCTGTGGTTCTTGTGTAACTATTGCGTGAAAATCAAAGGTATTTGTCAATTAGTCATTCTTCAAATGCAGACGCTGACAAAGTTCCCATATTTCAAAGTTCACACGATAAACATTTCTGTAAGCGGTATTTGTTGATTGATTGATTCAAATTTATTCCATTTCATATCAATTATTTCCAAGAACATAGTTGACAAAGTAAGTTCAAAATTATGAAATGAAGAGGAGCCTACTGGAAAGCATGAATTGTTTTTTTGTAGGTTCGCAAGAATAAATATAATATGAACATTAATTTCATAAATAATTTTAAAAAGTGTCTTAATCATCAGAGAAAAACAGATCCATCATGATAACATATTTTCATAAACCCTTTCAAATTAGTGTCTAAATAATTGAAATATACTAACGAACAAAATAACTAGAAGGGACACAAAGGACACGAAACTGACATAATAAGATAAGACGGGACATGACAAAACAATTCATAACAAGACAATTTTTAAAAAGGACATGACAGAACAAGACAAAAAAAAGACAAAAGAAGACATGACAGGACAACATGTAATGAGAGACAGTCAATGTACTGAGAGACATTCAAATTCATGTCTGTCGGCGCAGTGTGTAAGCATTTGACTGGTTATAGATCTCATAACATCCTGCTGTCCTTGGCTCCCCCCCCCCCCCCCACTCCGGGTCGGAATGACCGCATGCGTGTTACCAAAATGTCCGGTAAAGGGGTACTTTTCGTGCGACAAAGTCCGGCCCGAGAATTGTAAAAAAAAGGGGTGTATTTGACTTTTTACCCGGAGATTTCTTTACAAAGGGGTGATTTTTTTTCTTTTCTCTCATCTCTTTGGACTCCTGAGAAATTATTCCAAATTTAGGGGGTACATTGAGCATTTTTCCGGATTTAGGGGGGTCTCCAAGGCAGGAAAACCCCGCGAAAACCCCGCGAAAGGGGGGGGGGGGGGGTCGGAAATGTTGGCAGTCCTCAGATAGGGGGTGCTTTCAAAAAGAGGGAACGAGCATATGCGTACCCTAAATAACACTGAGTTGGGGGGGGGGGCCGGGGCTTGGCTGAACATGATTTAAGTTTTAGTAGATTATTTCACTAGGTTTCGGAACCCATTTTCTTTCTCAGTAAAACTGTAAACATATCGACTCTTTTTCAATAACATTTGAGTTTTGGTTATGTTTTCCTTTAACTTGTACTCAGTCAACTGTGAATAATTAATATTTATATTCCCCAGGAATATGTTAAGTTTTGCACCGTAATGCACCATTGCGATGTTCGCACATTTCTACGTGTGCGGCTAGTGAAATTGACTTAAAGCGATACTGACCTGTCGTTACGTACTGTTTATTGCACAGCGCCACCTCATGGTAACTTGCCAACAGTACGTGACCCAATACTAGTACCTTATTCCCACTTCCCAGACAGAGGACGTAATGCGATAACCATTAGAGCAGCTAATGGGAAGCAGCGAGTTATGAGTATATACTGCTTCAGCTGACCTGAGAGGGCGCTAGAGGGGATTTAGCAGGTAACGCTTTTTATAGTTAGGCTGTAAGTAAATTTTGTTCGAGTCTTTGAGATCATGAAATAAATTAGTCCCTACCTGATGAACCCTTTGTCATGCTTGTCAAACACACTGAACATTTCTTTCAGGTCATCTTCGGTGTCCTCCTCCGTCATCAGCGCTAAGAATTCGTTGAAGGTAATTGAACCTTTCTCTTGAAATAACAAAACAAAAAACAACAACAAACGTTGATGATAATAATAATAGTAAAAATATCAATGTCTGTATCAGAAAATTATACGATATGAGACTTGGGGGGTTTCACAAAGATCCTAAGTTAATATTATCTCTAAGTTCGACTTAACAATTATGGAAAGCCGTTAGCATCTTTAATTTTTTTTTTTTAAGGCATAACATGTTGATTAAAATCATTCAGATTCAATGTTCTTGATGTAGAATTCTTAAAAAGTACAAAATACTTACATTTTTTGTGTGAATATATTTTATTTAAAGGCTACCAATGGCTCTCAATAATTTTGGACTTGGGATCTTTGCGAAACATCCCCCAGGCAATTCATTGAGTATTATATTACTATTTTATGTAAATAATTGAATAAACAAAGATCTAGGTATCAACATAAATGAATGAAAACGATAAATAAATAGTCCTACGAATAATATATTACCATGATTTTGGGTTACTTCTTGGACCATGTATTGGAGTTCTTCATCAGTTGGCCTGTACCCGAAAGCTCTCAGTACAGCGCCGACATCGTCCACTCCAATCTCTCCATTTTCTTTCTTATCCAAAAATGAGAAGACAGTTTTCAACTCTGGATGGGGAAGAAAACATAGTCATTATCATGGTTGAAGATGAGGTAAATACTAATTGTGCTTATTAGTAGATTAGCCAAGACGTGAATCTGTGTTTATACTTTGGACGGCATTATGGGGTCATTCATGACGTCCGTGCTAAAACTCTTGCAAAAAATGTTTTAAATAACATTAGAGGTGGATGACACGCGCATATTTTAAATATAACAGTTTCATTTCTCACTCGACATTTGAAAGGATGTTTTTATTTTTTGACAGAATATGTATTATCAAAAAAGACCCTACAATTGAAGTAATAAATGTTTAATATACATTTGAAAGTTGGATATTACACACATATGTATGGCGTTTTGAAACATGAAAGCATGAATGACTAAAATATGGGGTTATTAAAACTCAAAATATTACACAGTTTTTAGAACACCATAAATTTGGCCATCGAAACACCTTTTCTTGATTTAACGACCATGCGTTATGGCTCAATGCATGGGCACACAGAGGATTTGTTTATGTTGGGAACCGGGGTAAAATGCAATACATTATTGAAAATTTATTGCATTTTTTTTTTTTTTTTAAAATTTATGGAAACTGCCCCCTACCCTAGCCCCCGCTGCGTACAGTCATGGTTCAGTGACAAAGCAATGCCTCGTGACTGTGAGGCCCCAGGATCAAAACCGTGTCGATGTGCTATATTAGTGCCCTTTTGTGGAGCATTATTCCTCATTTCTGTCATTTATGACTTAAGGGCGTAGGTCCCCTAGTTGATAAGCATAGTAGCATACACATGCTTGAGTAGTCACGCAAAACACACATTGGCAAATTATTATTTAATAAAATCTGAGAATGTATACTATTATCTAAATCTATTATTTTTAAATAATTCCATAAATTGGGGTAAAACTAAAATATTCCAACTGTATGAGCGACAGTGTATGTTGTCGCGCCATATTGGTAACCCAAATGAGTTGATGTCTTTTTTACAGGATGCGCATTTTGAGTGGAAAATACTCTGTACATGTCCATATTATGGCATTTATTACAGGTATTAGTGATATTAGTGTATGGGCTATAATTGAAAGTCCCCATCGCCTAAGACACAATCTTAAATTAGGTACTTCTGTTGGGATCTTTAGCTACAGAATATCCTTGTTTGCCCCAAAGTTGGTGATGGGTGTGACAACTGTGGTTATTACCACGGTAACGGAACAAGAACAATAATGTTTTAGAAAAAGCTCTTATATTTATAATTTAGCAAGTTAAAAACTCAATGAAAACATGCCGGTATGTGTATTCAAAGCATCTCATTTGATTTCAACAGCAAGTTGCTAATACTACTACTATAAATAGTATTACTACTGTGGGTAAGTAAGTACATTGAATCCCAAATCCAAAGTTTATTGGACAAATGCAACAAACTTTTTCCTTTGGTTTATCATGTAATGAAATTATTAAACAAAGAACGGTATGTTACCTTTTTCTTCCTCTGGTATCTGTTGATGATCCTACAGTGTATGTGAGTTAGAATGAAAAATAAAAATATCAGTTTGAAGTCGGACAAATAGAATGCCAGTTTACTGGGACCAGTATATTACCAATATCCAGCTGGTCAACTGGAACCAGCTAAAACCACTAGTCAACTGGTACCAGTTGAAACCAGTATATTCAATTGGTTTTTATATGTTAATTGAAACACCGCCAAGTAGGACGAGTTGAAAAACTAGTTGACATCTGAGACCAGTTTAAATCCAGTAAATAATTACCAGTTGAAAACTAATGGATAATTACCAGTTGCTTTAATCCTCTCTATCTCTCTCTCTCTCTCTATCTCTTTCTTTCTTTCTCTCTCTCTGTATCTATCTCTTTCTTTCTCTCTCTCTCTGTATCTATCTGTTTCTCTCTCTGTATCTATCTCTTTCTTTCTCTCTCTCTGTATCTATCTCTCTCTCTCTGTATCTATCTCTTTCTTTCTTTCTCTTTCTCTCTTTCTCTCTCTCTCTCTCTCTCTCTCTCTTCAGCCTCTACCTATCATTCTTCTCTTCTCTTTGCTGTACCTTGCATCACCAGTAACTCCCTGATTTATGTATTTTGCTCGTATATTTACTTAATTGTCAGGGCTCACACGGCATCATACTTCGCTCATCTTGGTGCCCTTGTCAGTTCTGTTTTGAATAAGTTTATATTTCTTCATTATGTTTTAATGTATACTGATTTCATCATGCATTTCTAACTGAAAATGAAAGATGAAATGAATAATTAAAATTATGGAAATAAAAGTGAAAGCGGATTTTTCATAAAAAATGAGAATTAAACAAAGATATGATGAAATCAAAAGTTAGATGAATGCCTACGTGCCAGTTTAACTGTTTGGAATTTCCGAATGATGACGCAATCACAACAAAAAAGACCAACAAATCTGATTTGTATCCTGCTATTACGCATGTTCCTCGGAAGTTGGATTTTTGATAAACTTATTTTCCACCATTAGTTCATATGAAAAAAAGTTATTCTAAGTACTTTAAATCTTTCTTTCTTTCTTTCTTTAATTTCTTTTTTTTTTACCTAGGCCTATTTTTTTTTCACTCGTTCACATACATTTTGTATTCATCTATTTAGAGAGAGAGGGGAGATAGCAGTGGAAATCAAACTCATAATGTTTGAAGCCCCACTGCACTACTTATAGCTACTTGCGCCCTCTATTTAACAAACAATGCCTAATCGGTGCCCGTTGGTCCCCCATGATCCCCTTTTTCTTATGTTAATTGAGAGCTGATTTTATGAGATAATCACCTGTCAGTGACATTACAGGGTGGTCTTATCCCTCTGGCCAAACTAGTACAAACGGGTTTTAAAGCTTATCTGCCATAGTTTACAGGAGGGATTAGACCGCCCTGCAAGGTCACTGGACAGGTGGTTATCTCATCAACTCGCTCTCAGTTAACATAAGAAAAAGAGCATCATGGGGGACCATGGTCACCGATTAGGCATTGTTTGTTATATAGAGGGCGCAAGTAGCTACAAGTAGTGCAGTGGGCCTTTAACATGAATATGAGCAAAGCTGCTTTAGAAAATCAGATAAACATATAAATGAAAGATCGATTTAAAAATGGACAAGGAATGTCACAAAGAATTCAAATATAAGTTATTAGCAAGGGAGGGATTGGGAGGGAATAACAGAGACAAAGAGAGAGGGGGAGAGAGGGGAGAGAGAGAGAGAGAGAGAGAGAGTGAGAGAGAATGAGAGAGAGAGAGAGAGAGAGAGAGAGAGAGAGAGAGAGAGAAGGAGTGAGGCAGATGGAGTGAGACAGAGAGGGAGAGAGAAATAGAGGGAAGAGAGAGAGAGGGAGGAAGAGAGAGATGAGAATTAGGCCTAGATTGTAGTAATTATTAGTAATTAAAACAGCAGCGTTCGAAGGAGAGAAAAAAATTTGTTAGCAATTAGTATAGTGACCGTAACCCCAATGCTTGAAGAATAAACCAAATAAAAATTATTATTATTATTATTATTATTATTATTATTATTATTATTATTATTATTATTATTATTATTATTATTATTAATTAGGCGCTTGAAGATAATTATGTTTCCTAAACTGAAAAAAAATCTTTTAATAACTTACCATTTAAAACAGTATGAAGCTCCTTTTCTCAGATAGGCCCACCGACTATGACGAATTTCAGAGACGGATTAATTCAATACAAATCCTCGACCGTATTTGTTGGTTGAATGAATGAGCAACGCAACGATTACAGAAACATTCGAAAAAGATTTGAACTTTTCGCAAACGATAAAGCCGTACGCATCGCCTTTTTCAAAATTGTTATACACGCTTAGAGTGATCGAAGTCAAGAGGATTTATGAATCGGTATCGAATTTTGTGAGTTTCTTTCTCTTTCTCGTTTGGTTTGTATGGTGCTTAATTGTTTGTCTGTAATCTTCAGTACTTGCCTTTGTGACTTTGCCGGTGTATGTATATTGGGTACACCCGCGCACACCCACGCGCGCGCGTACATAATTATCATACAACGTCGCTCATAAAGTTGGAATATTTTTTGTTTTACCCCAATTTATGGAATTATTTTTAAAATAATTTGAAAAATAATAGATCTAGATAATAGTTTACATTCTCAGATTTTATTAAATAATAATTGAACAATGTGTGTTTTGCGTGACTTCTAAAGCGTGTGTATGCTACTACCGTGTGAGTCACAAAAAAGTTTACACCTAGAAAATTGCTAATTATTTTTAAATCATCTATGAACAGTAAATTATTATACATCTTATGAAAGAGTGTTTTATCCCGAATCATTTGGTACCATTTTGCGTGGTATGTGTTCACGCTTGGGTGAACAGGTGCCATTGTTTGCGAGAGTGCAAAATCGACTTGCGCCACAATGATGCCCTCAGTATGTATTATGTTGGGATCAGCAGAGTGAGAGAATGGATTGAATGTATCAAATGAAATGCATTGCATATGTTTTTTGCAAAGGGCGAAGTCACACACACCCACACACACGCGCACAAATGTTCGTTGATATTTGATATTCGATATTTGATATGTGTGGCATGATTAATTTTGTTAGGGGTGTTATTTGGTTCTGCAAATACCGAATTAATACCTAAATCCCAATTGTTTTATTCAAACATCACATAGGCAACTTTGGCGCAATTCGATTTTTGCACTCTCGCAAACAATGTCTCCTGTTCATCCAAGCGTGAACACATACCGCACAAAAATGGTACCAAATGATTTGGGATAAAACACTCTTTCATGAGACATATATCAATTCAATGTTCATCGATGATTTTTTTTATTAATAAGCAATCTTCTAGGTGTAAACTTTTTTTTTACTCACACTGTATGCTTGTGAACGGTGGGACCTACTCCCTTAAGTCATAAATGACAGCAAAGAGGATTAATGCCCCACAAAAGGGCACTAATAAAGCACATCGACACGGTTTTGATCCTGGAGCCTCACAGTTACGAGGCCATTGCTTTGTCACTGAACCATGACTGTATGCAGCGGTGGCTAGGATAGGGGGGAGTTTCCATAAATAAAAAAACACAGAAAATGCAATAAATTTTCAATAATTTATTACATTTTACCCCGGTTCCCAACATAAAAAATTCTCTGGACGGCCATGCATTATGGCTCAAGGCATGGGCACACATAGGATTTGTTTATGTTGGGAACCGGGGTTTTTAAAAATAGTTCCATAAATTGGGGTAAA